ATAAGGAAAGTTGTTGGACACATGCTGGAAAAACCTGTATAAAACAACAAAATATTATGGTTACTTTCATAAAATACATGGTGAGAATGATTTATTTTTGCAGATTAAGAAGAATTGTTGAATTTGGTTACTGTTGTCAATATTATTCACAAAATCTTTGGTTAGCAATACTGACTTTTGTTGGCTGTCTTTGTTTACATTTCAAACTGTTGACAACATAGCCAGGTGAGCTACAGTGCTTTGGCACTATTTGCATACTTAATAACGTTTGATATGCGGAAAGAAACTAAACCGTTTTTGATTTGCTAGCGAGGCATCCATATCATTTTGAATCACTTGCAAGGACAATTAGAGTGTCCATGAAAAGCCACATACAAAGCTTAACAACAATGACAGTCAGAAAGTAGGAGAGCTACAGACTGTGTAGAAGTTTCCAGTTGAACTCCGATCTCTCCATGCAACCAGCTTTTATTGCCTTCTAAGCAATGTATATGAACAGTGTAGGATTAATGCAACTATTCAGTTGGGTATTTTATGTGCACAGCAAATGAGATCAGTCCTCACATGCCGTGTTTATGTTGTGTTGAAAGGGTATCATGCTATGTGAATCTATGTTAGTGGTTATGTGGCTCGGTGTTAACTGTGACATGGTCCATCTAGCAGTTTGTCTTGTCTTGTTTACATAATACAGATCGTCTATGCATAGATCTTCTGACAATCTTACACTGACAAGAAGATAGCCCTAGATTCACAGTCCCTTGACTTTATCTTCAGCACTCCGTCCTACAATTAACCTCAGGTTTATGCTTGGATAGAGCCATGTTCATTTTCACAATACCACATTATCAGGTACCCAGGAACAGACTTAACCTGTTCAACTGATCCAGTAAGTCATGTGTTGTCAGTTAGACATATCTCTAAACACAAAGTCAGCTTGAGAAGTCTTAACACAGTGCTGAAGAACTTATGTTATACTAGGTCGACAATTAGGCTGCAACAAATTAAAAATTTGTTCAGCTATATTTGTTGAATAATTTGATTTTTAAATAACATTAGGCTCCTGCTGAAGAAAATATTTACGTATTATGTATGCCCTTTTTATTACTTACACGTGAAGAGATCACCCGTTTGTTAATATAATACATGTTTATTAAATAACATCACATGCGGACCGGACTATTTGTTACATCAGCTGGTCGTTGGTAGCACTGTGTTATTGTGCTCTGCAACATCTGCTCTACTCCTAGACAGATAATCGCCCGGCAGACACTACTATCTTTCACAAAACACCAGAGATGCATAGACACACTATGCATGCATCTCAAAAATGTATTATTGACATATTTTTCTTGAATATGTCAAGTCCGTGAGTTTTTGCACAATTTGCCCATCACCGGACTCGCGAACAAATATGTTGGAAATAGAGATAGTATACTGAGTATCACTTTGCATTGTAGTAGAGCAAGTATCGTGGAATTATGAGTGTCAGTGAGATGGGTTCAACGCAGTTTTTAACATTATTTCAGTTATATCACAGCGTGTCAGTTTAATGTGGGAAGAAGTGATGCAGGTCTCAGACGTTTACCACTTTGGTGAAACCCTAGAGCATGGGTATGGTGCTGACAAACCTAGAAACATAATTGGGGCGAACCAGGATTCGAACCCACAATCATTGGTTTCTGGCATGCCCAAGGGATGCAACTCTGCACTGTGCCTTAAGTGACTGGGCCACATGTGCCCCCCTGTGGAACTATGAGTTCAGAGCATCACTTACTCTTGCGGATTGTATTTGGGAAGTTAATTATAGGATTGTAACAATACAGTGATATGAATAGGCAATCTTTTTATTCCAAAGTGGTCTGCGACAACTAGTGGCATTTCGTGACGGTGCCAAGTTGTCGCTTCTGGTCTGGTTCTCGGATCAATGTGGTCTGTGACAACTAGTGGCATTTAGTGACGGTGCCAAGCTGAAATGTTATTCTGCTGCAACTTCATTCAAAAACGGTTCTTGACTACTGAATATTTTTAACTAACATTTATTTTGTTGTGATTGTAAGTTTAGATTATCAACATTTGTTGAGTCTTCAACTAAAACACAAAATGACACAATGGAAGAAAGAGGAAAAACGCCATGAAAAACAGTATATTGCCATAGCATTTCCACGTCAGAAAACAACAAGGCATTGTGTCAATCTGGGGTAACATGAAATAATGCATACTCATTTTATTTATCAGCCGTTGTGTTATTTCCCACTACAAGTCCTTAACTATTGTAGCATTCAAATCTAAAGCAATTAGTTTTCATACTACCATGTAATAGAATACGCCTACATTTGCAGAACACGGACATCTTTGACAGGCCTAGATCATGTATGCTTATTATACACCTGTGTTCTTATAATTGAAGAAGAAATATCGTTAAGACTGAATTTTAAATGTTACTTCAATTAGACAATACCTCTTACATCTAATTTCATTTTTTTAGTCTGTTAATATTTTTTAGGAATATACCAAAAGAAAATATATCTACCATGCATCTATAAACCACTCAGTTACTCAGTTGAAATATACATACCAGTCATCACTTTGAACAAACAGATTTACCTGTACTATTATGCCCCTCGTAAAATGTGTCTCATCATTTAGTGCTTTGAGTCATCACAGGTGTTAATATATTGCACAATTTCTTACAAAATACTGATACTCATGCTCATAAAATAGCAGTAAGTTACAGAGATTTGTCCCAACAAACAACAAATACTGACTACCCCCACAAGATGAGTATGATATATACATTGTTGTAAATGATAGCTGTATCTTCTTGTTTTGGTAGCATATGTTTACAAGTTATATCCCTTACAACCCATGCATTTACCATGCTATCGCTATGTATCACGATTTACATTCAGCAGTACTTAAGACATCTGTAGTATTGTCTATTTATTAGATGCAGCAAATATGATTTTGATTTGTTCATAATCAAATATTTTGATCATGGCATAAATGCAAATTTAACTCCACAACCAGTCTGTGTAGATATATCTAAATGCATTTATTTATGTTATTTGTTTTTACATATAACAGATTATTCTTATATGTAATGACGGATAAAAAGTCACGCATGTGTAATCTAATACTAATACACATGCACAAGTATACAAAGATATTTGGGCTTGGAGTCCAAATTTACTACCCGGGTACTCACACCCTCTATTACCCGCTGTTGGTTTCAAAATATAGGTACAAAATGTCCGATTGAGAATAGTTTGACAATAGCCTGAGCAAAATGTATTTAGATACACATATAAAATGTCCTGGTCATGTATATACACTGAATTTGACTGAAGTTTTATCTTTATTCAAACATATATGAGTCAGAAGGAATGCGATCATAGTCACAAAGAAATGTGAACATTAGTGATTTGTGTAACCATGTAGTTATAGTAAATTTTTGTCATGAAACAATATATCAATAACTAACCAAGGGTCCGGGTAGTCCTCTGGGTACCCGGGTCCTACTCAATACCCACCCGGCCCGAGTACCTGAGGTACACGTCCCAGCCCTAACAGATATCAAATAAAATTATTATATTGTGCTATGCAGATATCTAATGATGAAAAGAGAAGAAAGAATGGCATTCTTTATTTGCTTGTGTGGGAATTTGAAACATCAGTTTGGAATAAGGAATACATACAAAGCAAGGTCTAATTTAGAAAGAGCTGTTACAATCAGCTGATGGTGTAGACACTGTGTAATGTTAATACAATCAGCATTATAGTGATTGAAAATTAGTATGAATATGTTGTTTTCCATTTACAATATGAAAAGTTGTAGTTGGTATCTGCATCCTTGAATATGTATTTAAACTAATATATAGGCTCCTCTGTGTCTCAAAAAAAATTATTTAGAATTTCAAAAAATGCCATAATTATATCTATCTTTTATTTATCATAATTGAAATGTATGTAATCATGGTAGTCCTGGGCAACAGCCACAATACATCTATGTAAAAAATGTGTACACCTTGGATTTAAGTGATTTCCAATTCGGTTTTTTGAACATTGTATTATGATATTTAGTTGATGACATAAAATGTCTATGCCTTTTTTTCACAATTTGTTGAAATATTCTCCTCACTCTCCTCTCTCAGTTGTATACCTGATAAATACATCTGTTGCTGTCAAAATTCACAAAATCTACTGAAAAACTTTACATTACATAAGACCTTTACATTTTGTGTACCACATCGCCTACCCGCTGTACTGAAATGCATATATATTGCCTCATTGGTTATACAACATAGATATGCATACATATACAATGAAAAAAAATGGACTTAATTTTTAAAAGCGTGATATTCAAACATCAAGGGCATCATTTTATGTACCGATTGCAAAATGTCAACAAAGTCAGGGACCTGGAATGAACGATCAGCTGATCGCATCGCCTCGCTTTGAATGGCTATCAAGTGGCTTACTATTACAATTTAAGCAGTCGTGGTCATCCCTGATGTATCATTGAATCATGGAACATATGTTTGTAGATCATCGTTTAGGTGAAAAGATTACTGTCCATACACCTGCGTGAACATTGCTGATTGAGGTGAAGCCTATACTGGTTAACTGTCAATAGGTGTGATAGTACCGTGTACCGCTTGTATCGTGCATACCATATGCACTGTCAGTTAAGTTTTGACCAGACGGGTCCACGCACGGCTTAGTGAAGGGTGACAAAGATCGCCGATTAATGTACTTAAGCTTTGATATTTGACATAAGGAATGTTACAGATTGGTTCTCCATTATCATTGTAAAGATTAGATCTAACATGATCAATGAACTTCAAGTACATTAAAGTGGTGACTACTTGACACTTTTCATGTGATATGCAGTGTCACTTTTTTTCCTGTCATTTTAAGATATATGGAATTCCTAAAAAACTTTCCACAGAATGTCAGGTATATGACCAGCATACACTGACATAGGTACATGAAGACGCATATTGAAATTTCATTTTTATTATCTTTACATCAATACAACATTTGCAATCTTTGTTTCTTAACAGTGAAAACTGAAAACACATTAATCACTGGTATATCTCCTTAAAGCAGAATTTGGTTGCTGCAATGCCTGTGGCATCCAGAAATGTTTATTGAACAGTGGAAGGTTTTCAAAGTGTACCTTTTATGGCTCATCACTCCACAAAAGAAATTCTTGAAATCCCCTTTTTATTCCAGAATGCATACCATATATACTTTATGATCGCTTCCATGTGGTTATATTATGCCTCCATGTTTAAACTCATGGGTACCTTTGGATTTGATTGAGAGGCTATCACATACAAGTGAATGTCATGCCAGTGACCACACAGTATTTATACAGCAGATTATCAGTGTTGATTGGGCATCATGTTATTTTCTTGTGTGTTGAAAACTGAATTTCATGAGCATAAAAGACATCCAAAATAAAACAACCTGAAGAACCAAACGCTTTAGAGTTGTGCCACCGGAAATCTTAGACATGGAATGCATAGTAATTAGCTCATATTTATCATCCTGTTTGTTGTCCTGTGTTCTCTTGAGAAGCTGAGGTGGGTCATTTAAATCACTAGATCACTATGAGCCCATCAACATAATTCTACAGCCCAAATTAAGTTGTGAGATTCTTTATATCAAGAACATTCTCACGGTAATAAGGCATTATCCTCATCCTCATCCTCATCCGGTAAAGGTACAGCAGATCTTTCTCTAGACATGGAATCCATAAGAACATCCTGGTGAGTCCAGGACCTTCTTACAACATGCCCACTTATATACAACCCTGCAGAGTCTACCAGAGTCATCGTACTGTTCCTTGATCTCACGACCCTTCTTGTGAAAGCGACATGCCAACTTGGTGTTCTCATTCGGCTTAAACAGTTTCTGACATCTCAGACACTGACTAATACCAGCTCGAGGACTCCCTCGAAGTGCATCCTTTCCTTTCTGATTGGACCTTTGTGTCCATGATGCAATCTCATCATTCGGATTAGGATATGTCAGTTGTTCCCCTTCAACATATACCCTCTCCCCTCCTTGTTTCTCAATCTGCTGATTAGGAAATTTCTTGGAAGTTTCTATATCATCAAGATGAAAATGTGAGGAAGTCTGTTCATTATAATTTTTCACAATTTTCCTGTATTTGTGAACTTTATGTTTGTATGAATTCAGCTCAGTCTGAAGCCAACGGATTTGGTTGCTCTGAGATGTAATGGTGGCTAAATGTTCAGTCTTTTCCTTCTTCAGAGAGCTTATGGTGCTTTTAAGTTTTAGATCAACCACAGATGGCTGTGGATCTCTTGGTGTCTCCGTCTTGGATTCTTGGAGTTTGTGAATATAGTCTTGGAGACATTTTACAAGATCCTTTGAACTGCCCCAGCTATTATAGTCATCCTCTACATCATTGTGAGGTACCACCCCAACCTCATCAGCAAGAGCTTGTAATTCTGACTGTGCTGACAGAATCACTTTGTGCTGCTTGTCAATCTCCTGCATTGAACTCTGGAGCTTCTCCTTCCAGTGATTCCTCTCAGCTTGGAGAACTTTCTTCAAGGTCACCTCAAGGTCATCTATATCTTCCTCGTATATGGATGATGCCTGGATGCCATTGTCGTGTGATTGTTTGCTGCTTAACAATGCCTGGACTCGTCGTTGGATATCGTCATCAATGATATCAGGATTATTTTCTTTCAGAGAACTGGCCATTGTTTTTCCTTTTAAGTTTATTAGATCAAATGGAATGTGCAAAGATGTATTTATTGTAGTTTCATTCTCGTGATATTAAGTTGATGCTCTGTTCCTCACTTGGCTTTATGTGTCATGTCAGTTGAAACCTGTAAAATCAAGTAGAGAATAAATTAGTTCATTGAGTACTCTACCATGATTATAGAAAATACTCAGTTCTGCATACTCAATTCTGATTGATCTTTTGGAGGTTTAAAGCACATCATGTTGAAACAACTGATTTGATGACTGTATCACTGGAAGCTTTCTCAAATCAGGTAGCCTTGTGGCTTAAGTGTTTTTTACTTATGCCAAAGGCTCAGTTTTCACGACCAACATGGGTAATGTGGATCCCCAATTCTGGTATCCCCACTGCGATATTAATGGAATATTGCTGCAAAAGGCATAAAACCATACTCTCTTTTGCAATCATTGTAGGGCTTTTGAAGTCATGATATGTACAACTGACAACAAGTTACAAAATGCAGACTGCGGCTACTACAATCTTCAAGCGTGTGTGGCAATACATTTTGGCCAGAACACCAGATAGAAATGAACTAGAAGATATCTTAAATGTTAAGGACTACAGAGAGCTTGAAAGTTGGTGCTTTGCTAAGGCCACAGAGTTCACATCTAATTTTGTCATGAGTAGAATGGAGTTAAGCATAATGTGCTTGAGGACGGAGCAGTGTTACTTGCAGATTTGATGGCACAAGATTTATCACTGAAACCTCATGTTGTGCTTTCAGTTTAGCACTTTTCAATCGACAGGTAAAATAGGACTACGTTGAAAATAACATCTAATGCAAAGGAACATTCATGATCAATAATGTAAGAAGTCAGCAACAAAAGAATATAGAATCTTTACATGTACTCAAGGGCAAAACTAATTTTTATCTGCGGTAACAATTTCGAAATTTTATATTCAAATTCTGCTGTGCAATTTTTGTAATCTTCATTTAACTGTTTATGAAATTTTATGAAACGGTATAAGGATCTCTACTGAAACATCCCCCTCACAGAACATAAAAAAGTTGTTATCCATAAATTGTGTCTACTATGCCACAAGTGGTTTGTTGTGTTCAGTGATGCATGGTCAGCCTATAAGATGTGTAGTCCACATCATCATAATTATGATTGATTTTTTTATTTCTTTGAAAGGCATTTAGAAGTTGGAGTACTAAGTAAGGATAAGATATATGGATGAACGACTTCTTTATTACAATAAGGAGCGACGTTTCGGTGTAGGTTCTAACACTTGCTTGATAACAGTGTTAGAACCTACACCAAAACGGCGCTACTAATTGTAATACAGAAGTTGTTCATGCAGATGTTTTTATTTTTCAATTATACAGTTATAAGATGACAGCATATATTGCATTTATATATCCATTAATAACTTAAGAAACTGCACAATTTCAATTCATATATGTATCTATTTGAAAAGAATATAGAACAAAATGTTTAAATAGAATGACAACAAGCAGTTTAAAAGATTTTGAAAGTGGTATAGTAAAGATTCCAAATAAATTGAAAGCCTTATTACAAAACATATTACATGACAATCAGAACAAATTTTGAACAGACAGAAAATGATTATACCAACATACAGCATTGGGAGACTTCAGTTGTGCACAGCTAGAACGTAACCCACCCGGTACTCTCCACATATTGTTTCTCCAGTGTTGAGCTTGTCAACAAGTGAATACCTCCCTTGATGGATCCCCTCACAAGAATGTCCCGAAATGAATACCCCAGTGTTGATCTATTTCAAAGGCGTGACAGGGAACTGAGCCATCAATATTCAATGCTGTAGGCTTTCAACCATCAACATTGCTGATCAATATGTTTGTGTTGTTTTACATGGGGCAGGGAGGGGCTTTTAAACACTGAAAGTAACAGTTGAGATGTCTATAATTTGGTATATGCAAGGTATATCCTTATATTTTGTTTATTATTTCCTAAGAAATTTAAATAGATAATTGTTTGTAGAGGCTGTGGCATAGGCAGCATATTCCTGGATGGGTACAGAGCTCCACCTTGATATTTCAGCTGTCTGAATATAGCAGCAAGATAGACATATGAAGTTTTCATTTCAATCTCTTTAACATAATGCTTGTTATTTTGATCATGTGATGAGTCAGTAATGATCATTCATTACTATTAGGCAATCCCAATGATGGATTATAATTATATCATAGACTTTAATCTCCTATTTGTCGGCAGCCTAGTGGTAGAGTGTCCGCCTGGAGAGCGGAAGGTCTGGGGTTTGATCCCCGGACGCTTCATACTAAAAGATGGTACTTGTTGTTACACTGTCTGGCGCTTGGCATTAAGGGTCTAAAACAAGGACTGGTCAGCTCGGAGTCAGTATACTGTGTCTGAGTGGGGTATTCATGTTATACTGTGGCATGGTATCCTAGTGGGCTAGCACTATAAATCGGCATTAGTCTTGACTTGTACAAGCAGACACACACACACACACACACACACACACACACACACACACACACACACACACACACACACACGTGCATGCACGTCGCTATATAAGTGCAATAATCTTGGACGCGACGTTAAACCAAATTTCATCTCACCTCACCTCACCTTTTCGTCATGATTTGAAATTTAATGTGTAATAATAATTTACTTACACATGCCTGATCTCAGGAAATCATCATCAATTAATCAGTTGTGGATTATGCCAACCATGATTAGACAACTTTTCACACATACAGATAGAGTGAGTGAGTTGGGTTTAACGCCGCTTTTAACAGTATTACAGTTATATCACGACGTGTCAACTTAATGTGGGAGGAAAGCCCGAAGTGATGCAGGTCTCAGACTTGTACCACTTCAGTGAAACCCACGAGCACGGGTACGGTGCTGTCAAACCTAGAAACATAATCGGGGTGAACCGGGATTCGAACCCACAACCATAGGTTTCTGGCGTGGTCAAGGGACGCAACTCTGCACAGCAACTCTGCACAGCAAATCGCAGCGCGTTAGACAACTGAGCCACCCGTGCCCCCACAAGCAGATAGATCATGTACACAATTCTGTATACAAATGATATATATATATGTACATCTGTAGAAACTTATATTTATTTAACATGTTGAACAAAAGGCATGGTTTCATTTCTGTTTTAAAAAATCATGAACAAAAGACCACCTACCTTGTATATAGAGAGCTGCCAAAGAAATAGCTGAGCCGTCCCAGGCTCAATCATTCAACATGTTCTTTACTCTTGACAAGATAATCTTGAGTGTACATGGAGCAGAAAGTTGTGTGTATTGGCTTGGCCTATGACAACGACCTGAGACTACCCCATACATAGTGGGTAACATGGAGATAAGAGGGGAACTCTCTAGTTGACAGATTAGCTACATACCCACTCTAACAGGATGAAAGCTGAAGCAGTTTAGTCGTTTCTAAATCTAATCTCAGTAGGGCATCGTGTTTATCTGCTTGTTTTGTGTGATAAGATGTACTGTATATATTGCCTGTCTTTGTTTTGTTGATACTGGTTATATTGTTTCATGACTGATGTTAGACTATGCTAAGTCTCTGAAAATATATAGTTTTGATAGAAACAGTCAATTACATTTAAATTAAAAAGGAATGGGAGATTCCTGAACCTGGGGAAAATGTAGACTTGCTTTATTACAATAGCATTACAGTAAGGACTTGGTGGAAGGGGCAATACTATTGTTCAGGGACTGTGAGACAGACTAGACTGGTGTATGTAATGTGTTGTTCATCACTGAAAGTGTTCAACTTAACGTTAGTGTTGTGGAGCATGCAACTCTATATTTGCCTTAGCACAGATTTACAGGGTCATGGACATGCATTTTTACATTTTGCTTCATTGTTTAAAGACATCATCCATTCTGTTTCAACATTTGTGGGGTATGCATATTAGTCTCTATGGTAGCAGGTTGCTGTTGTCTGTTGGGTATATTATCATTTAGACATAATATCCATAGAGCACCATCAATAATAAATTTCCTTGTTAAAACTTTACTTTTGAATATTACCATCTAGGCCCTGCTGAATGATTTGTGTATATTTGAAGAGGCTGTGATTCCACAAAGTTGGTTCAAGATACACTCCAATCAGTGTGACATACAGTGGTAGAAATTGGCACTAGTCCTGTAGTCCTTGCCAAACTGCCCAATAGTTAAGGTATCATAAGGACTAGTAGAAATTTGCCATTTTTAAGTGTTTTGCTATATGTTATCATTATAAGGACTTGTGGACTAAATATGTTAGTTTCTACCCCTGACATATATTAACTTCCTGTAAGTCAATGACTAATAAACACCATACTCACTTAGGATACTACTTAGGTAAGTTTGTTCACACCTCTTGGGAACATGCATGTGTTAAGTCATAGGTAATTAGAAAAGTTCATAATCTGTAAGAAGAGAATAACTTTTCACTCTAAACTCAGATAAAAACCCAAGGACATATATTCGCTGTACAGTTTGACAAATGGGAAATATTGCTTAGTAATGTCAGGCTGGTGTTGAATACCTTTTCCTCTGCTGTCAGTTGTGGCTAAATGTTCTGAATCTCCGATGTTCAAGCCAACACATTGCCCGTTCTGCCTATTGTCTTACCTTAGCTACAGATATTCATCTGGATATCCGAGTTCATCCCACGAATGTCCCATCAAGATTGCCACTCCAAGGAGCCATGTTATAAAACTGTGTCTGTTGTCAATAACATTGTCGGTACTCAGATTAACATGGCATTCATAACACCCACTGCCTAAACCATTTATAAAGGCTTCCGTCAGACCCATTCAGATCTGGCTGTTTTCTATGGCTTCTGCCTCTAAAGCTCCATGTTACTTAGCCCCCTTGCTTTGTGCACTAAGACCACTTGATAATTGGATTACTGGACAGTTTTACATTCACCATGACTATATCTGATAAGTCATAAAATTTATATTATGACTTTTCAAGGTACTTGGTCAAATTGACTCTTTTGGCAGAGTTCAAGTCATGTCAAATCAGTGTTTAATATTTAGTTATATTATTTAGGAAAGTAACGTCAAATCAACCCTGACAACATTTATTGTTTATTTTTCCTCCTGACTCTTGACATCTTCACAAAGAAAAGCCATACACAATAATAAACAAAAGCAACAAAACCCTTTCCATATTCTTAAGAAATCTCTGCCAAAAGTAGAGTCCATTATATTGTGACAATATCATGAGAATGTGTTTATGAATCACTAGCAGATAGTGATGATACCAGGTGTTCGCTAAAAGGTGAGCGCATCCTTCCCCTATGGTGCCACCCATCACAGACTCATTCAAAGGCAAGTCATTTGTTCACCTTAAAAAACACGGGAACATTAGGTTACAAGCCACAATAGGAAATAACAGTGGACATTATTTTTTGTCAGTGATGCATCAAATTTGTCTTCCACAATAGTTTTTGAAAGCTTTACTGAGGCTTTGAATGTTGTAACCTTGATCAAGCAGCTTCTGAGCATAGTTGTATGACGCTCTTTGAAATCTTGGTAGAAAGAGCATGCTCGATTGTACCTCAAAAGTTGTGAACACCAAAGTCTGGAGCTGCAGGAATATTGCTCGACAAAAAAGGAAAGTTGACTATTGAACAGTTGCAGACATCCCTCTTGTGGAGAGTGTTTTGTCACGCTGATTTTGTATGCATAGATCTATAAAACAGATGAGGCGGTCTCATTGGAGTCCTTTATTTCTAGTTCAGGTGGGTAAATCTGTGGAAGTGATTTGGATATTTGGTCTTTGAATGATACCAGATCATCAACACACCTGAAGCTAAAGTTTAACTTTCTGACCAAATTTCCTTTGTTTTGAATTTGCCAATTCGAGCAGAAATTTCAATTCATGTGAACAGTGAAACACATCAGTAAGAAGGGGAGCACAATTGGTGCCCAAATCTACTTCTTGCCTAAATGTCTTACCCCACGTATATAGATGATATCAATGAGGAAGTCCAGCATTTCACATACCCCAGTAGTTTTCTCAGTAAACTTCAGATGGCATTTGCTTTCATTTTTGAGTGAGTGAATTAGGGTTTAACGCTGCTTTTAGCAGTATTCCAGTTATACCACGGCGTATCAGCTTAATGTGGGAGGAAATCCCAAAGTGATGCAGGTATCAGACGTTTACAACTTCAATGAAACCCACGAGCACGCGTATGGTGCTGACAAACCTAGAAACATAATCGGGGCGAACCAGGATTCGAACCCACAATTATAGGTTTCTGGCGTGCCCAAGGGACACAACTCAGCACAGAAAATCGTGGCGCCTTAGACGACTGGGCCACTCGTACCCCCATTCATTTTTGACCTGAACCTCTGAAGATTGATATGTAACTGTATCTACGGTCACCAGGTTTTACCTTCAGCTATTTAATTAAAAAAATTCAAGAAATTAAATTGGTCAGGCCTAATGACATCAAATTTTGTGATATATTGAAGTGTGGAATTCAAGAGTAAAGTTTTTCTGGAAATTAAAAGCACTGAAAAAGTAGTTTCCGAAAAAACCCTCTCAACTTTGACATGCGAGGATCAAGGAATATTGACACCAAGGGGACTTCAACTGTGTCAGTATGAACATGTGAAACAGAGAAATAACACTTCACCATGGTGTTGACCTCTTATGGCCGATGGGACCAAGCTGACACTGATGCTGATATTCAAGCGGAAGCTGAAGGCGAAAGACAATTCCCCAGTGGCGTGTACGTCACAGTACAAGAAAAGGGGTGGATGGACGAGTCTCTAGTACACAAGTGGATTGACAATGTCCGGATGAAGAGACCTGGGAGTGCTGGGGGCTGCAAGTCCCTGCTTGTGTGGTATGTGTTCTGAGCTCATTTGTGCGAAGCTATAAAGAAGAAGTTGGCGGACAGTAAAATACAGCAGGCAGTGATCCCCAGAGGCTGCACATCCCTGGTGCAGCCACTTCATGTTTGTCTCAATTAACCATTCAAGGCCAACGTGAGGAGGGAGTGGAACACATGGATGGTGAATAGTGATCACACCTACCCCAAAACCAACCAACAAACAAAACAAAGGAAGGAAGGCACCGCAATTAGTTGTTGCTGAATGGGTGAAGGCATCTGACATGACTTCTGCCTTGCTGCCCCTGTATGGTATTTACAGCAACAGAGTTGGACACAGCCACTCGTCTCTTTGTCCGAAACAAGTGAAAATTGAGAGATACTTGTTTTCTCCAAATCTCTGAAGTATATATTTTACCCTCATTTCCAGTGTAACGTGTTAAGAGTATATATATACATATATATATTCTTGTATTTCAGGTTTCTTTTTTATTTGTTTAGGAACCATCACAACTTATAAATGCATCTGACAATACTGTAGCATATCAAGACAACTCATGTGATTACAACTGATAAGGTTACATGAAAAAGAAGTGTGCTTGTTGTGGATATCGATCCATTCCACTGGTCCTGAGTGTCATTGCTGAAGGGGAACTGAAAGGATTTTACTAGGGCTTCAATAAACCAGATATTAGGGTTGGGAATTGGACCAAAAAGTGTATTGCGATATATTGCAATATTTCAAAAACATATTGCAATATTATTGAAATATATTGGGAAATAATTTCTACCAAGAGAAAAGCTTTTTTTCATATCCCTTTGACAAATATTAATATGAAAGCTGCAATGTTAACAATTTGGTCAAAATTATGAACCAATTTTAATAAATTGTTCTATTATTTTTATCTACAATCAAATACAGAGTATGAAGCATTTGTTTTGTCTTTGTTTTGATTTAATAAGGTAAGACTATACATCATGGCATATACATGTCAGTCACAGTTTGAATAATGAGGGAAAAACCGATACGCCAAAAACTTATTGCGATACATATCGTGATGAATTTGTATTGCAATATACCGGTATACCGATAAAACCGCACATCCCTACCAGATATGTTCTATATTTGTTTCCCACGTCATCAATAGATCACTCTTTTTGACTTCTTTTCTAAAAAAAGCTTTGACAGGTTTTCAGACAAGTTTTCTTTTCACTGTTGCCTTAAATATGTTTTATATTGTCAGGATATTTAAAACCTTTTTATGACAGTCATATGAAAGTTTGATCTGAAGCCTCTGGCTTGGAAAAGTGGTTTTCTCATGCCTTACTTAATTGATATGAAATATTTGTCCTTGCTTGTCCTTGTGAAATCAAATGAACTAATGTCAATACAAAGAAAACTTTAAATTAAGATTATTGGATGAACCAACTGGCCTTGTGTGCCTTTTTCATTGAAAGCTGTACGTTGTTCTTGATGCTCACTAACCAGTATGACACTTCATGTAATACTTCAGAACTTCAAGCTCAGCCGTCTTCAGCAGCCCATTCTTGCCGTAAAAGGCAACAATGCTTGTCTTAAGAGGCGACTAACAGGATTGGGTGGTCAGGCTCACTGACTTGGTTGATGCATGTCATTGTATCCCAATTGTGTGGATCAATGCTCATGATGTCAATCACTGGATTGACTTTTCTGGTCCAGACTCAATTATTTACAGACCGGACTCAATTATTTAGAGCCGCCTTCATATAGACGGAATATTAGTGTAATGTAAAGCAACAAACAAACAAACAAACAAACTCCAAGCTAATTATGCATCCTCTTGACTAGTGTATGTCCTAAGAATATCCTGCTTGTGTGTCATCATACCCCTATGGCGTAGATCGTTTTTCATACTGGTCGAAACTAAGTTTAGCTTGCCAACTGTGGCGCCACACAACATTACCTCACCTCACCTCACCTCACCTCACCTCACCTCACCTCACCTCACCCCTCAGAACTGACAATTTTGACAGGATAAAACCAACATTCTGAGTGAAAAATAGGTTGTGTTATGTGATATTCTGGATTGATCTTAAAGCGCTGCAGCAACACTCTGTTGACTCATTTAGTTTTTCCTCTAAGCAACTAAGGTACTGCAATACTTGGCTTTTTCAGTCTTTAGACAACGGGATTGATAAAGGTTGAAGTTACTGTCCCATAACTCAATGATAGGTATTGTCATTAAAAAGAAATGTTTGAAAAAGTCTTTCGTAGGGTTTTATGATAGCCCAAGAACAGAAACACCAACAATAGAAGGAGGATTAGTGTTTCTGATGTATAGGTTTGTAATGGTGAAGTTAAAGTGTGTCATATTGTCCTATAATGCGGCAATATATCTCAGTGGGGTGTCTGTTTGATGCACCATTAACCTCACAGTGGATACAAGTCGAAACACTGTTGTGTTTGTCTGTCCTTGACATCCTCACCTGGTAATGATTGGCAGAAGAATCAGCTGTTGTCATTTGACTAAGAAAATAGGACCACATCAATTACCGTATTTGACGTAATAAGCAAACCGCTCTAATAAGCGCCCACGGCAATATTTGCTAATATTTTGGCAGGTGAACAATCCCAATTAGCACCCCTTCCGATTGATCAATGTACACAAGACGTATTTATTCGTGTGTTATTTGCACCCTTAATTATTGGCAATTAAATTCTGGAAAAATATATCTGTTGTATATAAACAGTCAGGCCGTCAGCATTAACCACAAAATTATCTTTCAACTCTGTGTTTTCCAGCAAAATAATATTCTAATAAGAGCCCCTTATTTCTAATTTTGTGAGCGCCCTGGGCGCTTATTACGTCAAATACGGTATTTGCCATGCAACAGCATGTTATGTAGGCCAGAACAACTTTGTTTCTTATTTTATGGAATTGCCTGCCCTGAATTTTGCAAACGATAAAAATGAAGCCTTTGTTCAACTGAGAATATGCTTGTTTTCAACATCGTTTTGGTTGTATTATATTATCTCTTTTATTTTAGAATAAAAAAGAAATTAATCCTGATGAAAAGTATAAATCTGAAAAACAATTGTTCGCTTAGCCTTTGCATCTTGGCATGTAGACCCAGAAATCTCAACAGAAGAACTACTTTCAGAAATGCATGCATGCATGTGTTCGTGCACTGGGAGTAGGTTTGATGAATAACCATTACACAATCACATTTCTTGAGTAGATGGTCTGAATTACGAAAAGAATTTAGTCCACCAGGAGAGTTCTACATGCTGCAGTTCAGTTTCACGAGGATATGGCAAACGTTTTTATTAAAGCGTCTGTTGCATATCAATATATTGAAGCAGCAGAATGAACATACCTGTATATACTACTCAACTTGTGATAGGGATATTCTTGAGTGCCAGGTAGGACAGACAACTTATTAATATCTATCTATCTATCTATCTATCTTATTAAAAATCCTTTTTCCTGTAATTCGATCACCAATTAATTCAATATCAATATAGCGCTAACTCTGTTATAGCGCGTGGTAATGCATCTAAAAAAACCATTATCAGCTGCTCACTGTGAGTGTGTAACACCGGAAATACCAGACAACAAATCCGAACTGAAGCACGCAATTTAATCCCATTATTATACTATCTGGTTCTAAAAACGTGTTCAATGTATGTCGGGACTTATGTTTGTAGTATATTTTATGAGTTTTATTCAATATTATAAACATACATTTCGACGAAACCGTGAGTGAAGTGATTGGTAGATTTATTTACAGAAACCACAGACAGATTATCGCTATATAGACACCTGAATTTGCTGAAGCAATACGATGGGTTTTTTTTAAAGTGCATAACACTTGATAAATCTTTTGTTTACGCTATGAATCTTAAACAACTACTATTCTAATCTTTTTTCAAACTCTGAAACGTGCAGCATAGATCATGTTAGGTGGGCAGAGCATGTACTGTTGTGTTGGTTATCTACCCCCTATGACTCCACCTCGGTTAAACAGCTGATCGTCTATAACTCTCATAAATTGTTTGGACCCCAAAGGTAGCTTTGTAGTGATCACTGTAGTATATGTTATGAAAGAAGAAAATCATACAATGGTTATTGTTTACAATTGTTTTTAGAGTAATTGTTATTTCGAATGAAATGTGAAGTTGCACTTCAGTCAAAAGTCAGTACCAGTCTGGTTTTTAAACTACTTACAATGTTTTATAAGAGATGTTTTGTTTATTTCAAATAAATTCAATTATCACAATGATATCACAGTAAAAGAAAAATTCATATCGCAGCTAAAATGTGTAGTCATAGATCCTTCTTTGACAAAATGGAACACCATTACAGAAATATCACTATATTATTGCATAGTTGACAGTTCACATTACTCTTCACCAGTTGAATGAGAACAGGATTTATCTTCATAAAATGAATATATTTCAACAATTCGTGTTTGTAAGTGTATTCTTATTTTCCAATATCTTGCATATCTTTTCAACATATACCATGAGCAGGTACATGTACAACGTTTTCATTAATTCATATTCTTTTATGGAGCATTCATTCATGTCAATGAACCAATTATTGTGTGACAAAAATAAATTGGTTTCGAGGAAGTTGTGGTTGTGTTATGTATGCCCCCAAAATTGATTCACCCTGACATAAACAAGTGTCTGCGTTAGAAGAATCATGACAAAACAAATCAGTTGTCATGTAAAAAAATGCCTAGCCAAAAGACCTGTTTCTGAAGAGTCAATAAATAAAAACTAAATAGAGTTCATGCTATTACATACAATTTCTTCATACACGTAAACGGTTCTTCAGCGGTAGAAACTAACAGTTTTAGTCCACTAGTCCTTATAATGATAACATACAGCAAAACCTTTGAAAAGTGCAAATTTCTACTAGTCCTTATGATACCTTAACTATTGGGCAGTTTGGCAAGGACTACAGGACTAGTGCCAATTTCAAACGCTGGTTCTTAGGCAGGCTTAATATCCATGGTTCCCCTCAAGTACTTGCCAAAAAGATGCCCAAATATTGGAGCACACATAAATAATAGAAACAAAACCATTTCCATAATCATGTAGGAAATCTCAGCTAAAAGCAGTCCACAGAAAGATTCCGACCATATCATATGGATGTGCCCATGAATCACCATCAAACTATCACAATGACACTAGCTGTTCACAGAAAAACTCATTACACTACATGGTTGGCCCAGTGGTGTAAGGCGCCAAGGCATGGTAGTACATCCCAGTCTTGACCAGACAATCCAGTGATTGACATGAAATCAACCTAGTAAGCAAACCTAACCATCCAATCCCAGGGAGCTTAAATTATTATCCTTTAGACTGTCAGGACCATATCCTTGCTAGAAGGTTCAGCTGTGTCACATTATCCTTTCCTCCTACATTTGGCTGACACTTCATACACCTGAAATACTGAAAGTTAGGTGGCGTGACAACAATCTCAATCACCCACACATTATCCTGAGTATATCCTACACAATATGGACAGTATAAGGCTGATGTCATACATGCTGTCCATAGCAGCACCCTTCCGAGTCCACCTCTTGTTTACAGCAAGTCCACATATACAGAACACGAACCAGTTGACCACCTTCAGTATACTTCTCTACTCGCTCTTTACTCTTAGCATGGTAGAGACAGGCCAACTTGTGATTGTCGATTGACCGAAACAATTTCTGACACCTGAGGCACTTGGATACCTTGCCTACCTGAGGTTTGAAAGCTTTGAGATGAGCCAGAGTTGCAGACAATTCTGCAGTCTTTTTTACTTCAAGTTGCCTGTATGTTTCCTTGGGAGGACCTCTCTCAGATATGCTACGTTTATCGTTGTGTTTACTTGAATGCTTAAGATTCAGTTTCGGTATAGGATTGAGAGTTTTTGTTGTCATTGTATTCGGAGCACCTTTCACTTCAAAAGAAGCTCTTTGCCAATTCTTTTTGCTGCCGGTATGTCTACTTGAAGATGCCTGCCCATCTCCATTTAGTATCAGAGGGGACAGGTCAATGTCATTTGCTAAGCTGAGGTTGTGGCTGTTAGTCACTGGCCCTGTGGATTTGCGCAGTCTGTCCATGCTTGCTATGGCATCATGGAGGGAATCCTCTAGTTTCTTGGCCCTCTGTTTCAGTGCATGGAGTTTCTCCTGGGATATATGGATCACAGAGGCCTCTTTGCCTTTTGTGGACGTCTGGGTTTCAGTTGCTGGCCTCTGGCTCATTTTGGTAGAAGATGTCTTTTGTGTGGAAATGACACTTTCTGTTAATGGTCTCTGAGACTTGTTTGGTCTGGACTGGTCAGCCGTTGATTCTGTTGATGTCGATTTATCCAGCACCTTCACCTGAATGCAGACATACGATTGTGTTCATTATTCTTACTGGTGGTAAATATAGAACATTGATATTCATACTTAACATTTGTGATGTGTCTTGTTATGTTTCTAATTGAATCGTGCACTATATATTTTGATCATGCATGCTTGAGATAAATAAAGCTTGTAGGTAAAGCTGAATATATGGACGCAAACAAATGGCTCTAACAAATAACTTTTAGAATGTGTGGAGTGGTCCACTGGTTTAGTCACATATCTTTTCTGATTTCAGCAAAAGTTATTTATATGTATAAATTACATGATTATGTGTTAGAACTGGCCTCCATCAACCAAAGGCAACAATTAACAAGGTGGTCAGACCCGGTGACTTTGTTGATTGTGTGTCATTGTACCATGGGACTATTTACTTGTCAGTATGTCCAGCCGGTGTTGAAAAGAACTGGTCCTAAAAAAACATCTAGCCATGCTACTGTATACAAGTATAAGTGAGTATATGAACATGCAATGCCATTTAGAAATAGGTCCATTGTAATAAATGTTATATTTGGGACTCAACCGCAAAAAAAGTACGCAAATCTGTACTTTACTAAGAAGGTGTTATACCAAATACATGTATAACATTTGTTACATGATTGAGTATTGTCTATTACCTGGCTGACAATGTTACTGATTTGAACACCATCTGCTCTGCCAGCAGTAAAATCTAAACCATCATCATTAGTGTTGTTTATTGATATATGCGATGAATTGTCAATTTGATGTACATAGCACCTAGCAAGTGACTTGCATAAAGCTGTTTCCTGTTCTTGAATGTCATGCTAATAACCTGCAATGTACCTTTGGAAATGAAATTACTTTTGATACATTTATTAGCACATTCAACATTGAAATTTATATTGTGTCGTCATCACAATTGCATCATATTAAGACTGGTTAAACAATGGCTGTCTATCTTCAATTGGCCATCCTCACCTGTTTAGCTGCTACCACTTCATTGATGTCAGTCATCTGTTGACGCAGCCATTCTACATCTTGCTGCTTCTGTCCAAGCACTTTCTTCATCTTTACCACCTCCTTCAGCAGCTTCAGGTTCTCTGATTCGGCCTGCTTGGTTTTCTCTGTGGCCTCCTGCACCTGATGTTTGCATGAGTGTTGCTGCACCAGAAGTTGCTGCCGCAGCCTCACAGCCAGCATCTCTCCCCCTTCCTGCTCCTCCTCCTCCATGTCCAGAAGCTGCATGCACTGGAAACGGTCCTCCATCAAGGCATTACAGATCTCCACCAACAGTTCCAGGGATCTCTAGTACAACAATGTTGTCAAAAGTATTTTATTATGCAATATAAACTGTTTAGGTGGACTTTTGATATTTTTTTATTCTGTCTTTTTTGCCATATGAAGCCAGATCAGTTCTTAATTACCTAAAAAGAACTTTTGAAATACATTTTCACAAGAAGTTGTTTTTTTAAAAACCATTTTCTTTCTTTCTTTTATAAATTCAATATTTTTTTCGTGAATTAAATTTCTTCCATGCAGAAAATAATTTTACTATATATAGAATCTTCACCTACCTGTATTTCTTCCCTGCTACTGCTGTGAGGTATGGAGTCCAGCAGTGAGTCACTGATGCTGAAACACTCCAGCAGAAGGCGGAGCTGGCTGCTGCAGTCCTGGAGTATTGCTGCTGCCTTTAGTGCTGTCTTCCTGTTCTCCTCAACCTCCTTCAGGGCCATCCTCAGTTTCAGTGACCAACCATCTCGTTCTATCTGTAACTTTGCACACAACCATTTTGATATTTCTGCCTTCAGAGCACGTTCATGCAAAGCTTTGATGAGCAGAATCCTCTCATCATTTGGAGCTCCATTCAAATAACTTTCAAAAAATCCTTTAAGAAATTCATTCACAGAAACTTGTAAGTCCTTGTCAATTTTGACTTCTTCCCAGTTCTTATCTAAAACTGATTTTTCTTTACCATGAATAATTAACATGTTTTTCATGACATTGCTGTGTTTTGAGGATGATGATTTTGAATTTGATTCATAGAAAGATGTTTCCAAGTCTTTCCTTGGTTCCAGTTCACTTGATACACAGTCTGACTGGTCAGCTGAATCTACAACCCTTGTCATGCGAGACAAAGATGCCTCCATGTTTTCTAAGCCGTTTGATCCTTCATTTTCATCATAACCTAGATCATTGTTATCAAAGGTTTCTGATTTGGAATCTTCATCTGTCCCTTCTTCATTATCATCAAAGTAATTATTTAGATCGACAGAGGTCTTGTCAGCAGACTGAAGACTGAATTCATCCTCCAGATTGTCCACCGATTTAGAGAAGCTCTTCTTGTCAGCAAGAGACGGTGTCATGTCATCTGCTGCCAGATTTTCAAGTGACTTGGACAGCCGCACTGGTTCTGCCATTGTCAGGGGCGGTCGTGTAGCCTAGTGGTTAAAGCGTTTGCTCGTCACACTGAAGACCTGGGAACGATTCCCGACATGGGTACAATGTGTGAAGCCCATTTCTGGTGTCCCTCGCCGTGACATTGCTGGAATATTACTAAAATTGGCGTGAAATCAACTCACTCACTCACTCACACTGCCATTGTCATAATCCTGGAAGATGCGGTTGAAGATGGCGTCTGAACTTGAAGATGGCCCCTTCAAAGCAAATTCTTCATGCTGTAACAAATTTAATTAAAGATAAAATTTGTATCTTTATATTTGTATTTTAAATATATACCTACAGTTTTCTGTGCATTTTCACCAAAGCAAAGACTTCTTGCTGCTTATCTGTTTCTAGTAACACATTCAGATTGGAGCACTCTATGTCTATGACATTCTTAAAGAGCAGTGGAGTACAGATATGACCACAGTTGGCTACTGTGACACACTGTCTTCATTTAAAACACTGTACACATTGTATAGGCTCATGGAGAACAGGTTATTGTGATGGGTATGACCAATAACTGTTTTATTGTATCTCAATGCATTGTAAACTTGTAGGGCCAGTTTTGTTCATTTCTCTTTCCCCATTGAGAATTTGAATCACTATTTTCATAGTTCATGTCCTTGGTTTTGATGAGAAAAGACTTTGTCGGATAATCATGTGGGTTATTCTATGGCATTGACATGTTATACTTGATGTGTCAAAAGTAAAGGTATGCTGTCAATGTGTTGGGAAACACTGCCTGAAGTAAGGAAATAATATATTCCTGATCACACTTCATTTAGTGATATTGTGGACCAAAAGAAACCTTTGAGATGATCCCTACAACATACTTATTCCCATGAACTGCCTTTGTGAGTTTATGATTGCATCTTTTATGTGTACAACCAATATCCACAGACCTCTTCAAATTTCTGTGGCTAGCAATAAGTTATTGACGGTTGATTATGTTACAATGTTTCCTAGTGGTACTGGTTCCTGTACAAGCAGTTGCTCCCCACAAGCAATGTCCACTTGTTCCTCTCCTTCAACAGCCTGACTGCTCAACTGTGAACCTCATATTCTGCCAATCAGTGTGTTAGTCCCGACCAAGTAAAAGTTACAAAGATTCTAGATACTTTCCTCAAATCTTTTATACTATTTTAGACTATGTATGAGATCAGTACCTGTTTTTATGGACCCTACAAAGGATAACAAGGGCAAAGTCTGAGGCCGATATTACTTTTTTCTGGGCCACTAAAACAGGTATTGACCTCAAATATAATCATAAAGAGACAAAAGCAAATTGGACATGTTCAACTACTGGTATGTTAGCGACAATGAGGTTAGGAGGTTCCATCAAACAGAGAAACCTGATTGGCTTAGGTTTGGGGAATACCACTTATTAGTTAAGGATCAAATTATATTTTTTATATGTATTTATGTCAGGTTTTGTGCTTTCATATACTTAGAGAATGGAAGTTTGTGGTTCGATCGCCTGAATATGTCATACCAAAAGACAATATAAAATGGGACTTATTGTTACCCTGTGCTTGGTATTAAGGGGATTAACCAAGGACTGGTCAGCTCAGAGTCTGTGAGTATAGTGTGTTAGTGGGATATCCATGTGAAACTGCAGCATAGTATCTTAGTGTGCTAGCACTAGTAAAGCAGCAGAAGTTCAGACTAGTACAAGCAGATGCACACATACATGCATGTGCAATAATTGTGAACACAATGTTAAACCCAATTTCACCTCCCCACCTCCAAATATGTTATCAACCCCTGGAATGCACAAGACTATCGGGATCACTTGACCAGACATTGTGACTTGTGAACATATCCCAATTGCGTAGATGGATGCTGATGATGTCAATCATTGGATTGTCTGGTCCAGACTTTATTATTTACAGACTGCCGTCATATAGCTGGAATAATGCTGAGTGCTGCGTAAAATGACAAACAGACACAAGAAATGTTCAGTCAACTAAAATTAATGATGTGGTGCACCAAGATAGTCAGTAGTACCGGTATGTTGTTATATCAAATAAATTTATGTTAGGACATGGTCATTGTGGGTATGGATAAAATAGCATGACCAAATTTACATACATCATTCAGGTGTAAATCTTTAGTACTCTCATGCTTATGTCTGAGACAAAAATGAGGACAGAGCAAAAAGATAAGCCTTCATTTGTTCATATGCCATGTATATATTACTACATTCCATTGAAAGGTAATGGTAGTGTTCTGATATCATGGTGCATTAGTTACATGACATTAAGGGCAAATCTGTGATTTGAACCCATGATCATAGGATCATGCAATGCTAAAGGGATGTAACTCTGCACAGCAAATTGTAGCACCTTCAATGACTGTTCCACCTGTTACACCTGTTCCTCTTAGAAATGGACACACCTTCAATGCATGGACTGAAGTATTAGCACTGCTTATCTGCTCATGTAGAACTGTTGGTATGAGCATACTAAATAGCTGCAACACACAATAGTTTGGTTGCTACTGTTATAATTGACCTTGGATTCTACTCATGAGAACAGTCCTTTCCTCAGAATGTTCGCATTGTTGCTCGGACTAGTCATAAGAACATTTATTATGCCCCAAAGTGACATTGACCTATCAGAGAGCAGAACTACTAACCCGATATGAGCCCATATACCGTCAGTAAAACACCAAGATGATTGTTACTGACCTAATATGAGACCGTATACCGTCAATAACAGACATTTTGAATTTTCCAACACCCACCTCACATATTTCACATAAATATTCTGGTACAGAATTTGTTATTCGACACTGTTTTGTGTTTTATATCATTAATTGTGATGTGTAAAGACATTAATTTTTAAGAGACATGTTGGTGACTTTATTAATATAAATTATTGAGAGAAAAGCTGAAAGGGAGGTCACTGATTTACAAATATCAACATCATAGAACATAATATAGGATTACATCACAAACAAGACGTGTAATGCCAATGACCTCACATGGCAACAGAATACAACACAGCCCATCCTAAGGGAAATGCGGACTGCTACCAAGTTACAGCGGCCCGCAGATTTCTGACAACATGCAGGCATTTTTATAATAATGCTATCCATTTTAGCTATAATACTTGCGTAAACATTCGCATTTAGTGCATTATATATTCCATAGTTAACATTTGTGTTAACATTAAACCGTTGTATCGGAAACATATGTACTGGTCCTGACATTTATACCGTTGTAAGTTTCAAGTTTTCAATTTGATATGACATGTGCGACAAAGATACCAATAGTGTAAATTTTTCAGCTTGATAAATTCATTATGGCCTGTTTAGTTGCTAAGCTAATATGACACCGCATATGGCAACTAAAGACGCTATAACTAACAGTGTGACTGTAGAGTGAATACAGATGGTGTAATACTATTGTTGGCCATGTATTCATGAACCTTGTGGTGTGACACTCAACTTATTGCAGTTGACTCTTGTGTCAGGGTGTTCTGTATGCTTTATCTGTTTGTGTTTGAGGGGTTCTGCCCGTGTTGTGAGTTCAACATACGACTGTCACATTGTGAAGTATTACATTTACCGTAATCGACGTTATAAGCGCCCCGCTCTAATAAGCGCCCATGGCGATATTTGCTAGTATATTGGCTAGTGAACAATCCCAATTAGCACCCTTCGTGTGTTATATGCACCCTTAATTAAATTCTGGAAAAATAAATCTGGCGTGTCTAATACGCACAGACTTTTCTTTTGTATCATTTCAGGCTGTCAGCCTAAACCACAAAATTTACGATCTTTCAGGTCTTTCACCAAAATTATATTCTAATAAGAGCCCCCTCTTTCTAATTTTGAGAGCGCCCTGGGCGCTTATTACGTCGAATACGGTACATGCAGGTATGTCTCTTGTTGGTGAGCGGGAGTGCACATGTTCAACTTTGTGAAGGGCATCGACATGTTTGGTATTTTCAAAATGACTAAATATTTGTTCGCTTTTATGAAATTGATTTAAACCATTATTATAATATCCACAATGACATGGATGCTAATCAATATGAACCACATTTAATGATGTTGTGAAATCATATTTTCAATCAATTTAAACCAAGGCTTGAATAAGATGATATTTTATGAGGTTGCTACTAAACTGGGGGTAAATTTATTTGAAGAAATATCATTGTGTAAAAATATTTTTTTATGGAAAATATACATATCAGATTTTAGATTCTTTAAATGTTTGGAAAATGTCTGATCAGCATACAGTAAACATCAGTTATTGCATATAATAGGACAACCACTGAGGATCTAGTGGATAGCTGTAGAGTGTCTGCCCAGAGAGTGGTTCGTTCTCTGGCCGTGTTATACCAAAATATGTTAAAAGATGATACTTGTTGTTACCCTGCCTGGTGCTCAACAATAAGGAGATAAAACAAATAATGGTAGCTTGGGGTCATTATACTTGAGTGGTGTAGCCATGTTAAACTGAGGTATCTCAGTGGAATAGTATAAAACTGACTTTTATAACTTTTATAACACCAGACACACACACACACACACACACACACACACACACACACACACACACACACACACACACACACACACACACACACACACACACACACACACACACACACACACACACACACACACACACACACACACACACACACAATGTTTAAGTGCAATAGCCCTGAACGCCATGTTAAACCCCATTTCACCTCACCTTAACACATAAAGTAGTTATAAGGATGAAATATTACATAGCTATGTGTCATGCTTTTTTGGTACAAATTCAGAATGCATAACACCTTCTTGAATGATTACCAGCATGAAGAACTTTGACTAAGACAGAAACCATCAATAATGATGAAAGACCTTGTTCAAACATTTTTTTAGTTAGAAGTAAAATGTGTTTGATTGTCAAAAGAGTTGCCATCAATGGGATCAGATGATTACAATTTTTGACTTGGCTGATTTTGCAGTGACTGCACGGATCGTTGCTCATGCTATTAGCCACTGGTTGGTCTGGTCCTGCATTGTTTCGACACAGGCTTCTGTGATATTGCTGTCGAGTCACGTATGTTAATACCGGTAACATTATACAGCCTTCACTTTCACATTGTCGCACAGACATATCAATTTCCTCTTTCTTTTCCCGAGAATGACCCAGTCTTTGATTTAAGAGATCCTAATCACTTGATCACCTAACATTGTTTCCTTTCATACAGAGACCATTGTGTCCACCAAAATATTTTCTTTGGTTATCGATACAAAACTATGGAAGAGAACAACTCTATGTCAAGCCAGAAAAAGTATTTCTTATGAACCAGAAATTAATGCTCACCAGACACTGCCTTAAGAACTCCCAGAACATTTCCCCATAGTAAGTCTCCAGCACTACCTCTGTGTGAATGACAAGTGGTATATACTTAGCTGTATATAATCCCATAGGACCTGGGCATGGTGATCATGATCGACTGTGGTTTTACACGAGTCAGTGCACACCAGCAATATGATGCAGTCCTGATATCACGATTTCACATTAGTTCTTTTTCTTGGATATTGACTGAGATTTAGAAGAATGTCCTATTGAAAGTTGAGAAAATCATGAAAATGTCTCAATGCCATCTCCAGCCAAATCCCAGTGATATATATATTAACCTAGAGAATTAACTCAGTCCTGGGAATATGTTAACATAACATAATGTACTTCAATATATACTACTCAAAAGAAGTTAAGGATCACCTGATTCTTTCATATTACTATAGTTAATCTCTCATGCCATGACAGATTAACTTTACCAATATGAAAGAATCGGGAGATCCTTAACTTCTTTTGAGTAGTATATTATGGAAGAGTTAGTGATATATATTCATTGGAAAATAAAAAACATATATATAACAATGTGTTGCAATTAGTTTTGTTTATTTCACACTTGTGATTTGCATACTTTTTCCAACTGTATAAACATTTGATCATGAAACTTAAATTTGTTTGACATTTGTCAAAATTTAATGAATCCCACTAATGACACAACAATCAGCATGAGATGGTACTTATTTTCAAGGTGCTTAATAATGTTGTCTTTAGAGCGTGCACATTATGAAATTTTGACTGGTATTTATTAAAGACCATAGGACATTTTTGATTGATTGTGATTGTATAAAGTTCTAATAATTTACAACATTGCAGTGAATATCCTGTTACTTAAATATATTTTGTAACAAATATGGTATCAAATTATCTGGAAATTACCATAGAGTATTATTATTGCAAAATCAAGGGAATATTTTAAATTTTTACTTACATTATTGGTTCATTCACTACATTAGGAATATAGCAACTCTCTTATTTTTATATTATCTTTCAAAGTTAAACAGTCAGGTTTGAAGTGAGTATAGCTCTTTAGAAGATGCAGCTGATTCTGTAAAATTAGATTGATTGAATGAATCACATTGATAAAATTCCAGCCATTTAACCACAGTAACAAAATCGCCATTCGTAACAAGTATAACAGGCAGTCAAGAAGGTAACTATCACAGATTCAGTGTAAAGCAAACTAGGTTGAGCCTGTAAAATATACAGCACATAATGAGGCCTGATAATGAAATTGGTACCAGTATGTGTGTGATATTTGAGTTCTTGACCGTCATTGTGTTAAGCTGTGGGAGTTACTATTGGCATTGGTTGTGTTCCCACCTGCCAGGGCTGGGCTCACCAGGGGTGTGACTGTGCATGTAGACTAGTGTTTAGCTTGTCTCCCAATACACCTGAATAATGTCGGCTCTGTTTGACACACATGCTTTCTATACTACTTTCTATCTCATAAGTCAGTGATTGACAGAGGACTACACATGTAGATATGAGCAACTGTGAGCTTCAGTGGGTTGGATTTTAGATTCAACTGTCGTATTCAACCGTCTTTTGTTTTAGTATTATTAATGTTTAGTTTTAGTTTACAACTGTCATCTCTCAGAAGACATTATTTGTATCATTAGGATACATGGATGTATGAACTTCAGTGTTAGAAATAAACAGTGGTCCTTTAGGGTCTTTGAGGATCTTTGCCCTAGTATCTCAATACAAGCTAGGACCTCTAAATCATTCATTTACCTTGATCAAGGTTTGAACATTTAAGGCCTTAGTAAAGCTTTCAGAAAGTTTTATAGCAGACATGTGGTAGACAATTATAAATATGATGAATGATTGACAAAATATATGTCTGATGCAATTTGCTGTTTTCACTTCCACCATATGTTCCCATGTGGGTTTTTTTCAGGTTTATAATTGACTAGCCTTTGCATGTGTTTGTGATGGGTGCCACTGGTGGGGCAGGATAAACTCACCTTTTCGCAAACACCTGGTACCATTACTATTTGATAGTGATTCATAAACACATGATCATGATATAGTCAGTGTCACACATTCAGCATTTTAGCAGCGATTTCTTAGGAATATGGAAAGGGTTTTCTCACTTATATTTACACAGCATTATCCAGTATGTAAATTAATTCAATTTGGCACACCAAATGTTGTGTTATTGATAGAATATTCAATCTCTTACCTTTAAGACAGTACTAGTATTGTTCAATGCACGTGAGCACACAAGATTCCTGGCCAGATAAAAGCAGGAGATAAAAAGAATTGTTTCAAGGTAGACACCCATCGCAAGGGATAAATATTTCAAATCAACATCAATAACGGATCTTTTTAATAGAATCAATTCTCATTTAATTACAGGTTTTTTATAAAGAAATTGAACTAATTGATAAATTTTGAATTGTGTAAATAGCTGTATTTTATATTGGTAAAGTATAATTTAGATTGTTAGTGGCTATAAGGGGGTTGAAGCAGCGTAAAAGTATTGTCCATCTGAGAGGAAATGTAAGACCACATCATGCATTCAAAGTACATGTACATTTATTCTTACCTCAGTTTTAAACATAGTATATTTGTTTATTTTAACTGTTGCGAACGGTCACCAGCAGCTGAGGGGATGGTGTAAATGCCGCTGGGGAGCTGTGCAGGTAGCAAAAGTATTGTAAGTCCCCACGGTCCCTAGTATGGTGGCCTAACTTTGGTTGCTGGTGATCTATAGCCCGTTTTTATATTGTATTGTTGAATGAATATGTATTCTTTTAAATATTCTAAACTAGTTTTAAAATCGAAACTGTGATACTCTAGTTATCCTACTGTCCTTCGCTGACAGGTTTTTATTCCAAATAAATCTATGTACATGTATTATGCGTCATTTCTCGTCACGATATGGCTGAAATATTGCCGATGTGACGTTAAATTTTAACTCACTCACTCAAGGTAGACACAGTGTCAGGGGTATAAGGATCTATACCAAAACGTCGCCTTTACAGGCATCTACTTTGACATCCGTCAACTTCTAAGTCAAAGTGTGCCCATTGGTATGGCAGGATTAGTACTAAAGTATAGACATGGGTTTATTGGAGGTCCTGGAGATCGAATCTCATAAATAAAATGGACTTTACTATGTCATGTTATTTACACTTGACCTTTCAACAATACACGAGATATTTATTGTACATTGTCATTGAAGTTTTTCAGCAGGAGTTTCCAGTTCACGTTGGATATTCTGGTCAATAACAAAAGAACATTAGCACTCATTTCAAAGAAGGGAATTACTGAAATGTTGTATATGGCTTATATTCTAAGTTAGATGAACTTTTGTTCTTTTCATGTGACAGATACCAGAGGTACCGGGGGTATGCATATGAATACTGGCTGTGACATTTTATTACCTTTCACCAAGTACACTTACCAATTACAAATTTTGGTGGTCCAAAAATGTTTGGCCTACCTGCTGAAAGTTACATGTAAGAATGACTTTCAATAGATCTTTCTTTTTAACATAAGGTTGATGTAACCCATATGTCTCATAAGAAATATTTGGAAACAAACTATAATAGATGCAGAAGACACTACGACTGGATGATTTTTTCACAAGGATAGTTAAGAAATGAGGCAGAGGTAAATTAGCAGGTAATCTTAGCTAAGGTTATTTAGTCCATTGATTTTATTGACATTTTGTCCAGTCGGTATATGCAGCTGGGAGACACAGTGTTTGTTTGTTTGTTTGTTGTTTAACCACACACTCAGCAATATTCCAGCTATATGACGTCGGTCTGTAAATAATCGAGCCTAGACCAGACAATCCAGTGATTGACATCATGAGCATTAATCTACGCAATTGAGATGCGATGACATGCATCAACCAAGTCAGCGAGCCTGACCACGCGATCCTGTTAGTCGCCTCTTACGACAAGCATAGTCGCCTTTTATGGCAAGCATGGGTTGCTGAAGACCTAACCCAGATTTTCATGGGTAGAGACACAGTGATATTAGATTGCAGTTGAATGGTTGTGATGTGGGTTTGATTCCCATCATGGTCACAATTTGTGAAGACAATACATGTTCCTAGAAATTAATATTGGACTTTTATACTACTAAAAAAAGTTTAGAACCACTCAATTATTTCACATTATAAAATTAATCAGTCATGCCAAGGGTGGCCCTTAACTTGTTTGGAGTAGTAAGCTAACAGCCAGAGCTTACAGCTGGGAAGAGAACTTGTCATGTAAAGTCTTGTTTTGTGGTGAGGTAGTACTTTGGTTCTATATTAAAGTCTTGACACATGTTGTACCAGACATGTATGTGATTCATTCCATAGCTTGATTGTCATTCCATCACTTGATTGTCTGGTTTTGTTTACAGGCTGACATCGCATGGCAGGAGTACTGCTGTGCTGCATCAGGCAATATATACTTACTCTATTATGCAAATTGTATGAATGGCGGGTGCTACCAGTTGGGCAGGACATGCTTACCCTTTTCGTGAACTCCTGTTTTTCACTGATTTTCAGTGGTCCATTCATATAATTTCCACAGCTTTTGCCCTTTACGCCAAGTGGAATCTGTTTTGTCAGAAAATCTAGGCTGGTTATTCCCTTGCATTGAAAATTTATATTTAACACATGGAGCCCATTCCCATGGTGATGTAGAAGGAATAATTATTGTAATTTAAACACAAGCAACTCACTGACTGTTTCTCTGAAGGTGCTGGAAATATGTCTTAGCAATAGTGCACATGTGCAGTAGTTGCTGTACTGAATACTTTCTGCTCCATGCCAACTCACCTGAAGGAGGATCTGCTATGGGTGGTTTCTAGGGCACACACATTCCTACTGGAATAGGCAACAAATTGTTTCTGGAGATAAACTGTATATGTTCCTGACAGTCCACTAATAGCCCACTAGTCAATGCTCAGAAATGTGCCCTTCCTTTGAGACAGTACTCTCTCACTACGTTGGACTTTCACCAGTGCAGTCTTCATGACAGGTATATCAGCTCATCTACAACCGGTCATGTGTGCAGGACAACCACTCCACTGTCACACTACTCCATGATTCCACTTACATCATTGTTGACTCGGGGCTTTCACTCATGATCATTATCTGTGATAGTTGTCAGGACCTTGTTGAAGCACCTGTCATAGGGTGCTACACCTGACACTGTGTGCAATACACGCTATACATTGGATCGGGAGTAATGGAGTGCAAACAGACGTTCACTTGACTTGTCACTTGCCTCTGGAATATTTTTTGTTTAGTACTTTGAATTAAAGAATGGGTAGCCAAATACTAATATGAAATTGATAGCTAATGTGACCCTAGAGGCCCATTCCACAACTAATGTTCATGTTTTGATTGTGTTAAGTCTGTATCAATTACAATAGTCACAGCAGTACACTCTTTTCCTGGCATGAGGCCATGTCGTGTGTGCTGTGCTTACTGTTGTAGATTCATAATGATGTTTTGCAATGACAAACTGGTATAAATATTTTAGGCATAAATAATTTCTTCTGAATTCAGATATTGTATTCAGATTATAAACTATTAATATTAATGGGACCTGGGCCTATCAAAGAAAGAATGTTACTGTCCAGCAGACCCAACAACACAAGACATTCCACCTTACCAGTGGACCCAGTAACACCAGACATTCCACCTTACCAGTGGACCCAGTAACACAAGACAATCCACCCTACCAGTGGGCCCAGCAACACCAGACATTCCACCCTACCAGTGGACCCAGTAACACCAGACATTCCACCCTACCAGTGGACCCAGTAACACCAGACATTCCATCCACCCAGTGGACCCAGCAACACCAGACATTCCACCCTACCAGTGGGCCCAGTAACACCAGACATTCCATCCACCCAGTGGACCCAGCAACACAAGACATTCCACCCAACCAGTCGGCCCAGCAACATCAAACATTCCACCCACCCAGTGGGCCCAGTAACACCAGTCATTCCACCCATCTATTGGACCCAGAAATACATGACATTCCACCCTACCAGTGGGCCCAGTAACACAAGACATTCCATCCACCCAGTGGGCCCAGCAACATCAGACATTCCACCCAAACCAGTGGACCCAGCAACACCAGAAATTCCACCCACCCAGTGGGCCTAGTAACACCAGATATTCCACCCACCCAGTGGGCCCAGCAACACAAGACATTCCACCCACCTTGTGGGCCCATTAACGCAAGACATTCCACCCGCCTAGTAGGCCCAGCAACATCAAACATTCCACCCACCCAGTGGGCTCAGCAACATCAGATATTTCACCCACCCAATGGGCCCAGTAACATCCGACATTCCACCCATCCAGTGGGCCCAGCAACACAAGACATTCCACCCACCTTGTGGGCCCATTAACGCAAGACATTCCACCCACCTTGTAGGCCCAGCAACATCAGACATTCCCTTCAACCAGTAGACCCAACAAAACAAGACATTCCACCCACCTTGTAGGCCCAGCAACATCAGACATTCCACCCACCTTGTAGGCCCAGTAACATCCGACATTCCACCCACCCAGTGGGCCCAGCAACACAAGACATTCCACCCACCTTGTGGGCCCATTAACGAAAAACATTCCACCCACCTTGTAGGCCCAGCAACATCAGACATTCCCTTCAACCAGTAGACCCAGCAAAACAAGACATTCCACCCACCTTGTAGGCCCAGCAACATCAGACATTCCAACCACCTTGTAGGCCCAGCAACATCAGACATTCCACCCACCTTGTAGGCCCAGCAACACGAGACATTCCACCCACCTTGTAGGCCCAGCAACATCTGACATTCCACCCACCTTGTAGGCCCAGCAACATCAGTCATTCCACCCAACCAGTGGACCCAGTAACACCAGACTCTCCACCCATCCAGTGTACCCAGCAACACAAGACTCTCCACCCACCCAGTGGACCCTGAGCAACACAAGACATTGAACCCACCCAGTCGCCCCTGAGCAACACAAGACACTCCACCCACCAAATGGCCCCTGAGCAACACAAGACATTCAACCCACCCAGTGGCCCCTGAGCAACACAAGACGCTCCACCCACCCAGTGGACCCAGAAACACAAGACTCTCCACCCAACCAGTGGACCCAGCAATACAAGACACTCCACCCACCCAAAGCTATAAATAGTGCCTTTAACAACTTAGGACATTTCAGTACCAATATTATTCCTATATTTCAGTAACACAAATAAATTATAAAGTATTAGTAAGAGACCAACTCTCAAATAAGGTTCAAGTTTACACTGGAAACTACAGATCAAAAAGAGTGTGAAGTGATGCCTTTTACTGCCAATATTTACAGTGTTTCGGCTCCTTTGTTCTTTGTAGTGGAAAATACAAATTCTAAGTGCAAGTGATTTGAAATTTTAACAGAAACATGTACATAAATTCATTTCTCTAAGAGAAGGATTGTTCTCTTTATGAGGTGTTTGCAGTATATTGATAAATTATTATTAAAAAGTTAAGATATGAGAAAAACCAACGAGTGAGTGAGTTTGGTTTAATGCCGCTTTTAACAGTATTCCAGTTAAATCATGGCGTGTCAGCTTAATGTGGGAGGAAAGCCGGAAGTGGTGCAGGTCTCAGATGTTTACCAGTTCGGTGAAACCCAAGAGCACGGGTATGGTGCTGACAAACCTAGAAACATAATTGGGGCGAACCGGGATTTGGACCCACAATATTAGGTTTCTGACTTGCCCAAGGGACACAACTCTGCACAACGAATTGTGGCACCTTAGATGACTGGACCATCCATGCCTCCTTATTTGTAAGAAAAATAGGGAAGTGTCACCTAACATGTACTTTGGAACATGGTCACTCGATGAGGGGAATTATAAGATACTCACAAAAAAACACACATTAAAATATATATACAAAAAAGAAAGCATTACTGACAGTATGTTTTCATTTTTCAAAGTGAATTTCCTGTATGAAAATCTAAACTGCCTTGTGTCTATAAATGTTGAATGGATTTTCCGGAGTTGTTATCTAGTAATTAGGATTCACCTAAATCTCCTGATGCAGACAACAGTATATGTGACAGTAGGTGAGAGGTCTGGGTTTGAATCCCAGCAACACAGGAGTTCTGCTGGAGTCCAGTAGCTATGACATGCATAGTCACGATCAATGCTATTTCCATGTATCCGTTTTGTTTGTTGATTAACGACGTAGTCAGCAATAATCTGGAATCTGGACCAGGCAATTCAGTGAATGACATCACGAGCATCGATCCACACAAGTCACTAAGTCAGAACACCTGATCCAGTTAGTTGTCCAAGCATAGGTTGCTGGGGACCAATATTCTTACCTGGAATCCCGATGGGTGTTTAAAATATGTGGGAGTTTCAGATATGTTGTCATAAAACCATACTCACTCACTCCTAACACAATGAACAAATTCATGGAAAGATTTTCTACGTATTGGCAATTATATATAATGAAGATTGATTATAAGAATTCACGAATATTCATCAACGAATTCACATTAAAACATTGACATACAGTGACATTTTACCCCAGCAGGTTGAAGGTTGCATTCAATCAAGTAAATCAAACATTTATATACAGAGCATGTCTTAAGCCAAGAGGGTTGTACCTCGCACTAGTCTGACCATGGTAACTACACATGAATGTGTCAATCAGGGAGTACATTAGACCAAGTGTATGAAGTGGGACTTCTATTTAGCTGGGGATTGCCCTTATCATGGCACACAAAGCATGTATATATAACATATGCTTGTCAACACTCCAGCACACAACAGTCACAGGTGTGTTCTATAACGGATCAGATATTATCATTAAGTATGGTACCGAAAATGTTGTTATTGTAGAATGGATTATTTAATTCATAGTTGTTTCTCTGACTTTAAAGAGTGAGTGAGTGAGTATGGTTTTACGCCGCTTTTAGCAATATTCCAGCAATATCACGGCGGGGGACACCAGAAATGGGCTTCACACATTGTACCCATGACTTTAAAGAAACATGAGAGTGAGAAATTCATTATGCCCGATATGCACTCATAAATTATTGTGTCCAGGTCAAGAGGTTCTGCATTCATCTTGTCAAAGTGGGAAACGTTTATCAGATGATATTTTATATTTTCAAATGAACATGATCATGATAGTTGATATTAGCATTAATCTTGATTTTTTTTCTGTTCACTGGATAAAAACATATTTTTTTAAATAAAAAAAAAAAGAATTATTGAATCACTTGTATTTATTTAGGGTTCCAAATTAGTTCAAACGGTAATAAAGCTACTCACCAATATCACAGCAACTACCAATGTTTCCTCTACCAATGTCTCCTCGCCTTCAGTAATTCAGTGGCAAGTTCTTCATTGATTGGCATTTACACCCAGCAAAGGTAACACTATTAATTAAGTGTTGACTCTCCTTTATTCACAACTTGACATTTAAGGAGCTGAATTTGTTTACAGTGCCAGAACTTATTCAAATATTCTTGTCCATGCTTCAATAATTTGACTAATCTAGGAGCCCACCAGGTGATCGGAGTCAATGCATGATCAATATGGATCAATACCTGATAAATCACCAATCAGGGTGAGCCAGGGGATCGCTGTCTTACCTTACATCGCCAGTAATTGATCTCCAACAAATACATTGATTACATTTGTACATTTGCCTATTCATGGTTAGGGCAGTATGCTTGACTTGTCGAGCCCTAAATGTTGATATTTCTGTCTCAATGTTACCATCATTGACTGCACTTAATCAAAGCACCTAAATAATTGTTATACATCATCAGGGAGGAAGCATTTCTCTAAACATGACCAACAGAAAATTATTGTTTTTATGAATACATGTTCAGGCTTCAGTAAATTGCCTAATAGGCCATGATTAGGTATATAAGGAGGTTGGTATGAGCACTGCTATTAAGCATCTCTGTAGGGGGTATTGGGGATTATTGTGACAGTAACAGCATTATTCAAGCAGAATTTGATAAATATATATGACATAGCAATAATTTGTTATGAGATTAGGTGCACCATAATGGAATATATTGATGTTTCCTGTTATGGATAACTTGGTCTATTGTCAGCCTTTATAAGGCAGCTCTTCTGTTCTGTTGATCCCCAGAGAACATTCTGATCAGCATAGTCAAATAATAAATTTGGATTTTAGCTGTTAAAAATATTGCTGTTGACTGATCAAATTTTACACATATACCCAATAGCCTAGTTGTGTATTATTATTGCGTGTCTGGGTTTAAGTGCACACTTATTTTCAAATACTGTAACCAATGTTAAAGAAAATATATGATTGCAATTTTTTTGTGAATATCAATTGTCCTATTATTATTATATGTCAGTTTCCGAGTGGAATTTTTTTTATGACATTGTTAGAAAGTATTTAAATGTCCAAGTGAAAGTGCTGAAATCACACGCTCCGTAATCAGCTTCCAAAACAAACATACTTGGGGGTGTAGCCTAAAGGTACCGGCGCTGCAGTGCATGACAAAGGTTTTCATTGGCAATGTGCTATTCTTACATATGCTGTTTCTATTTCTGTTAATCCTACAAAAATAAAAACTTTGTATATATTGAGTTGTTGAATGCGGGAAATGTCACTTTTGATCTTGATATTGTGAATAATTAATATAACAATTAACAATCTGTAACTAACATTTTATTACTAGCATCCTGTTGGGTACCATAAACAGTGACTTCTTACTTGTCCAGCAGCTGGCCCGGGGGTAATTTGAGGTGTGTGTGTGTCATATCAAACACTGTGCAGGATCGGGATCGGGATCGGGATCGGTGGATGCTTGTAATACATAGAAAACGATTTGTGACACAAAATACACAATAGATACATTATTCCTTCACATCTCAAATTTACATTATTTACACAACCAGATGTGATACAGCATTGTGATAATCATTAACTTGTTTCTGGTTGGCGAGAAGTTGTCTCTTCTTCCTCATGGGCATGGTCCAGGTTTCAATACTTCTCCTTCTTGGGTGGCATCAAACTAACTGGATTGAGATTCAGTGCTATCCTGCTCAACCTGCAGAATCTCAATGAATATTTTTACAGATTTGAATACTATTCCCCGAGATAATTTGTTGGCGACGACCCACTGCAGACTGGGCACTTGCCTGATAGTCTGAAACTGTGCAGTGCATCAAACACTTGGAACCCGTTTTAACCCCAAAGAGGGGAATTCCCACAGTGGCAGAATTTTTTGTTTCGTTGTCGATTTTATCATCTGTTTTTATGCTATTTCCGTTTTGCAAATTTAATTTTGGTCAACTATTTATGATTAAGTATTAAATTCTGCAAATTTGCTATGTTGCCATTCCTTGCCCTTTGAGGACACTGGTATCTCAATTAGAAATGTTTTGTCAAAGACATTTGCTGACAGGAGTGATAACATAACAATAGAAATAATTTATGCTATCTGCAGTTTTGTTTTGCTTTGTTATGTAGTAAATGTTGTATCCACCATCAAATTAAAAAGGTTAGGTTGATGTTGAGATGATGCTTTTCTTAATTAAGTATACTTTTCCACCCCTAGTAGTCTCTAGTACCTATTTTCCCATTGTATTGTGGGTTCACACAGAAAAACAGCAAGCTGTTTACAGTTAAGTTATGCAAAGGGCCTTACATGAAAATTACCGACATTATATAAGCACCTTCAGAGGCCACTTCACAATGTAGTTGACAAGGGTATTAATGCACTACTGGACATTGTTGTATGAAAGTATTTGTGTCCACTAGAACTGAATAAAGTAAAGCGGAAACTTTACACACAAATGTTTAATAAACTACAATAAATTGTCATTAAGAACTGCACTTAATATGCTAATAAATGTGATATATTCTGCCATCCTTTTTGGACATATAAATATGTTATGTGTGTATTTTTTTCGTCTCAGGTCATTATTTTTAATTTGTTATGACTACAAAATCTTACAAAACAAATGTAACTTATCTTTTCAAATGGCAGTCAAACACCATTGTGTCAAAGTTGAAGGGACTTACGTAAATACTTCAAGTTTTTCAAGGTTCGACACAACCGAAAATTAGGAATAAAGAAGGAATATGCAGGGACCAAGCTTTTTACTTCTAGACAACCATAAATTTGACACATCAATGTTTGACACAACATTGTTTGACTGTATCAAATGTATTTACGTTTTAGTCATTGCAAATGTCTTATGGAGAGAGCAAGTACAGGCCTATGCATGTTTTTTTTAAAAACAACTAAATGCCTGCATTTTACACATACCGGCATTTAACAAGGTTAACATTTATTTAAGAAGTGATATGAAAAAGTCTGACCTGCCTACAATCAATGTAACTGTTTGCCATTACAATGTACAATATTATAATACAAGTTGCCCCTGCCATGCTCTTAACATAGCAATATATACTCCTTTTGCCTTCTAAATAGCCTGGGTGCTACCGGTAATTACTTTACCGTCTCATCAAGTTTCAATACATTCATTAGACGTAGCACATGCTATATCATTATCAAGGTCCACAGAGAAGTATACAGATTCAGTTTTGACAGCTGTTTGAGAAGAATAATTCAAGCTTGAGTCAATATAGAAATATATGGCGATGTAGAACTATACCTTTAATTTAAAAGATTTTTAACATATTAAACATTTATCTGGAATTACCTGTCAGCAGACCATGAAATCCTCACGAGTTGAAAATGAAGCAGCAGATCACATGTAACCATATCATCCATTTACAATCTCAGCACAATCACACACCCCAGCATAAGCCAGTTGTACAGTTAGTGGTAGGAACACCAATCATATCCACCTTGCACGATTATGTCCTAGTCCGCGGGGACAGATCTATATCCCTGTCAATGTGATAAGCCTACACACACCCGGGCCATTACTGACTGTTTTAACATTCCAGATGTAAATGATTGTCAGTTTGGCTTCATTGGCTCAATTCTCATTGGAGGTGTAGGTGATCATTTTATTGACCATGTGCCAATCATAACTTTTTTGCATGACCAGTTTTGATGTAACTTAATATTTGTGTGTTTTGATATGGTGTGGTATTTGATTTGTTAGAACTAAAGATGTGTAGATTTGTTTGAAGTTGAATAAAGATTGGAGATATAAAGATGAATGTCGATTGAAGTTTTTTGTTATATCCTCAAGGCATAAGATTTGTGTGTGGCCAAATGGTGCCCAACATGCCATGATCTGATCAGATGTTTGACTTTATTGGATGATTAGCCAGTAGTATTTAATGGGTTCATGGATTTCAGACAGAACTGCATTCTTATGGAAGACAGAATGGAAGTATTGTTTTAACTTCCTGATTTTTTTTATGTTCACATACATGTTAAGTTTTCAGGATAAGTGTATGAAAATATATTGTTTTCTGATATTCATCAATATATATATTTTTTCTCATTTGATTAGCTAAATCCAAGTAACATATTTAGATTGAATGAAATATTCCAGTATATACCACAATATTGTTAGTTTTGGTATAAGGTTAGTGTATGTGTCCGCTGATTGAAGATACTTTGTATTGTAGGTCATGTAGTCAATGGAAGCCACGTGATATAGCGCAAGCTATCCTCAGCTCAATCAAACAGCTGTTTTCTATCAAATTTGAATATGGTTTAATTCTTTTACAATGACAGATTATTGCGTGTTGGTTACAAACATTTGTTGCAGCCGTATCACTCGGGGTACATGGGGTTTACACATCCCGCGGTAGGTTTTATACTACAAGCCAGAGGGGAGTGGAAAAAAAAAAACTAACAAGGGACGCATAAAACCCCACGTACCCCGAGTGATCCAGTTACAACAAATTTATCTTACCGACATGTTTTAATATGACATTGTAAAATAATTCAATCAAATTCAAAATTGATAGAAACCAGCTGTTAACTTGTGCTATATCATGTGACTTTCATTGACTCGAAAAAAAACATGCTGCTTTTTGCTTAACAGTTGGGTATAATCCTGGCAGAAATCCATGTGCAGCTTGTTTTCTTCATGGCAGGGTATAAGGGATTTATTCTCCCACTGAGAAATGTATTTCCCTCCTAGGCGGGATACATAGTATTTTATCAAAATTATGTGATATAGTCAGATCTCATCATTCTGACATGGAGGTATGATAATAAACTGTTTCTGTGAATTTACTAACAATCTAGGACAATGTCTAAATGGCAAAGGACATATCTGTCAACAGATACAGATATAGAGATAAGGACATGGCCCATCCTCAATTTCTTTATATTCCTTTGAGTGGAAGAAGCCAGGTATATGATAGTGATGGGATAATGACTTTCGTGTGATGGTGAGAGGCACTTAAATGAGGTGAGGTGAGGTGAAATGGGGTTTAGCGTTGCGTCCAAGATTATTGCACTTATATAGCGATGTGCATGTATGTGTGTGTTTTTGCGTGGCTGCTTGTACTAGTCCGGACTGATGCCGATTTATAGTGCTAGCTCACTGAGGTACCATGCCACAGTTTAACATGAATACACCACTCAGACACAGTATACTGACTATGAGCCGACCAGTCCTTGTTTTAGCCCCAAAATAGGGTAACAAGAGGTACCATCTTTTACCATATTTTGGTATGACGCGGCTGGGGATCGAACCTCGGACCTTTCGCTCTCCAGGCGGACGCTCTACCACTAGACCACGGGGGTGGTCAGCACTTAAATGAAGGTGCAATACCTAAATTGCACTGGAAATAATTGTTTACTGGTACTATGCTTGAGCTTTGTGCTCCCAACATAGAAATATTTTGCCATTGTGCATATCAGTAATATTTTCCACTACTTTATGCATGAGTTACTGGTATACTCATTCTTATGTTGTGGAAATTTGAATGGGTGGGGGGGTAGGGGGGTGGGGGTATACTTTCAGACTTTACACCGGTAAGTCAGCCATCACCATTCACTGACACATGCCACTAATTGTGACCTTGTTAACACACTTATTTCTGCACAGTGATATTTATTTCGTTGTGTTATACATGTCAGTCCTGTAGTATGGCTCTTCTGAAATACACTGAAGCAGTTTCATGTGTCGAGATTGATTTTCTTCACAGACTATTTAGTTATATTTTACACCTGGTTTGAAATGCCCTTTCTTTAACATGCAGTAATCTCCACAAGGTACAGGTTAAAACATAATTGTTTAATACATATCTCTATGTCAGGGAGAACTTGCATAAAGATAAGATCATTCTTGAAACTGAACTTTTCCTATGCCAGTGACAGAAGCTGTTAAACTGAACCGGAGCCTGATGTATGTGAATGAACACCAGAAGTGTGTCATGGAGCAGCAGAAGGCAGACCTCCACAGATGTCAGCAACAACTGGTCACTCTCAGGACACAGTTGGAAAGTCAGCCAATCATCACTGCTGACACAGAGGAGCTGAATCAAAGACTTGCATCACTGCAGTATCACATGAACCTGGTAGGCACCATACCTTATCAAATTTGAATGAATTACTATAATGTTACTTATATGAATCTTGCACAAAAGAAGTCTTTTATCAGGTCCCTAGAAAGCTGCTTATATACATTACATGTTTTATGCACAAACACTGTACTGCTGAGTTGACCCGTGAAGATCCGGGGTAGAATAGGTCTTCAGCAACCCATGCTTGCCTTAAGAGGCGACAAACGGGATCAGGTGGTCTTGCAGGTAGCAGGGTATTGATTACATATATGATTTGATATCTTAAATACAGGGAGTTTGCAATTTACTGCTATCTGCTGAATACCTTTATCATACTCACAACTGTATATAGGCCAAATATACAAATTAGACAATCAGTAGTCAATAGGATCTTATTTAGGGTGAGATGTTGGGATATTCTTTCATAAATTGAACTATAGTTTTAAAAACTTCAAGAATCTGCTTGGTCAAAACTATATCTCATGCACATGCACATATTTTGGGTGTTAGTCAGATGCATCCAACAGTGGAACGTGCCCACTGTTTGAAGGCATATTAATTTTGTTTGATGAAAAACTATTTTATTGTTCGTACTGACATTGCAGGGCTACTCCTTGCCCTGTTCATCAACACTGACAATCAAGATTTCAACCAACAATAAAGAAGTTGCTATTCCTAAAACTTTCATCTTCTAACTAAATTCCTGTCAAAGATTATATCAGTTTGAGTTTATCAAGTTATTGTAACAACCATAAACAAAATCGCCAGGTAATGAGGGAAACAATTGCAATGAAACTCATCAGGTAATGAGGGAAACAATTGCAATGAAACTCATCAGGTAATGAAGGAAACAATTGCAATGAAAATCATCAGGTAATGAGGGAAACAATTGCAATGAAACTCGTCAGGTAATGAAGGAAACAATTGCAATGAAACTCATCAGGTAATGAAGGAAACAATTGTAATGAAAATCATCAGGTAATGAGGGAAACAATTGCAATGAAAATCATCAGGTAATGAGGGAAACAATTGCAATGAAAATCATCAGGTAATGAGGGAAACAATTGTAATGAAAATCATCAGGTAATGAAGGAAACAATTGTAATGAAAATCATCAGGTAATGAGGGAAGCAATTGTAATGAAAATCATCAGGTAATGAAGGAAGCAATTGTCATGAAAATCATCAGGTAATGAAGGAAACAATTGCAATAAAAATCATCAGGTAATGAGGGAAACAATTGCAATGAAAATCATCAGGTAATGAGGGAAACAATTGCAATGAAAATCATCAGGTAATGAAGGAAACAATTGCAATGAAAATCATCAGGTAATGAGGGAAACAATTGCAATGAAAATCATCAGGTAATGAAGGAAACAATTGCAATGAAAATCATCAGGTAATGAGGGAAACAATTGCAAAGAAACTCATCAGGTAATGAGGGAAACAATTGCAATGAAAACAGTAATAACAATGAGAAGTGAGAATGTTCTTTATTTGCATCACATTTGTGAATCACACCAACAAAACTTATTCCTCATAGATTGTGGAGCAGAGGTGTGCCCTGGAAAAGGAACTAGATGACTACAAGGCCAGACATAAGGTAGGGCTATAACAGAACAGACTCAAAGGGAGACCCACTGTGCTGTGTGAGGGATTGTTAAGGGGGAACAATCAGCATCAATGTAGAGTAGTGGCGGTTTTCTCGTGCATATATATATGGTGCATTTTGAACTTTTTGTTATGAATTGCTCAGATTGTACAAAGAAGCTTATTTTCATGTCTGTCATTAATTAGCAGCTCCATGTTTTTCTAATGCCACACACACACAAAGATTATTGACATGAGATATTATTCTTCCAGGGACATCTTCCAAATGGCCCTGGGAAAATCTTTTTGCATATATATATTATGATAAGCTCATATGGAAAAAATAAGTTGTTTTTAGTTGGTTTCTAATTGTCATTCAATTATTTTATCTCTCAAAAATCATTGCTATTATGATTGAACACAGTTGATCTAAAGACAGCTAGATATTAATCAAAATTACCAGAACACAAAATTATGATCAGGAACACTATGGGTATTATTTGAAAACAATACTACATGGCAACAGTTGAGTCAGTATTTCTACAAACATGGATATCCTTCAGTGAATTCATGACTTTATTGTCAAATCAAAAGATTTGAGTAGCTTTTATTTAGTGCATATATTGGAAGACTTCATTATTATATTTCACTGACTTCAGTATGTTGGCTTCATGAATTTCATTTGTGCATTTTGTATAGCACTATGTATGTTTGTATGTTTAGCACTACCTTTTTATAACTATATATATGGGGTGAGGTGAAATGAGTGAATGAGTTAATTTTTTTCATCGCGTTGGCATTATTTCAGCTATATAGCGATTGAGATGAAATGAGGTTTAACATCTCGTTCAAGATTATTGCACTTATATAGTAACATGCATGTGTGTGTGTGTTGGGGGGGGGGGGGGGGGGGGGGGGTTGCATGTACTAGTCAGGACTAACTACCAGAGTTGCGTCCCTTGGGCACACCAGAAACCTATGATTCCGGTTCGCCCCGATTATCTTTCTAGGTTTGTCAGCACCATACCTGTGCTCATTGGTTTCGCTGAAGTGGTAAACGTCTGAGACCTGCATTACTACAAGCTTTCCTCCCACATTAAGCTGACTCGCCGCGATATAACTGTAATACTGTCAAAAGCGCTGTTAAACCAAGTCACTCACTCACTCACTCACTCACTCACTCACTCACTCACCTTAAAGCTGGCATCAGACAGGGTGAAAACAAATACGATTTTTTAATGTCTTTTGGTATGATGTGACTGGGGATCAAACCCTGGACCTTCCGCTATCCAGCCAGACGCTCTATCACTAGACAACAGAGGCAGTCTCATTGTGCAGGACAAGCAAAGTTAATTTGCGTCCATGGCAGGCATGATGAATTTCAAACAGTTTGGGGAAAATACTATAAATCTTAAAATTAATGTGTCTCCAAAGTAATACGACTGCTGACCCCTAGCCATACTGGCTACATAATGATGCAAGAAAAATCTATCACTATTTTTCATGATACTTGCACTTTAATGGTGTTTCTATTGTAGATTAAGACCATGTAGAACCAAAAATAACATTGATTTAACAAAGACTTGCTACAATTTACAGGTTTCTCTAGATGATCTTCATGAAATGAATAGTCTGGTAGAGCGACATCTTGACAATGCTGACCAGCACAGGTTGAGAAATGCAGAACTGGATGAAATGAACCAGACCTTGAAATCCATGGTGAAGTTGGGTGAGGAGGAGGTGGTCAAGCTGCAGCAGGAGTTGGATGTGGAGAGGGTTGTCAAGGCAGAGGCACTCACTCAGTGGAAAACACAGGTCACAGTAACATTCAACAGTTGTCACTTTGCACTAATTAAGAGAGTGTGTCAGTTATCAGTTATGATGTATTGCACAATCAGCAATACTGAAGCTGTATTTTGGCAGCCTGTAAATAATCAAGCCTGGACCATGAGTATTCATGCTATGACAAACTATCAGCCAGGTCACTTAGGGTGACTATTGAGGGCATTTTTACGATTGCAAAAGTGTTGCGAAAGTTTGAAAAGTGCCTCTACTATCATACAATGCAGATTTCCTTTAACTAATGATTACATGGTGACATGTCCGCCAAACTATTAATGTCATCAACATTGTATAAATGTATACCTACATGTTTCTTCAAGCAAGTTTCATTTTGGATTTGAATGAATGGGACAATATGATAAACTCGATTTTATCATGTCATATTGACTTTGGTGATTTTATTAATTGTCTAGGGAGGCATTAATGTTAATTATGGACAATTTGACTTGCCCATATCAGATGTATTGTCATCTGGGGGTGGTGAGTTATGATCATCAATTGGTTGATGAATTCCTTATGTTCCAACAAGTCCAATGTAACCATCCAATCTGCATTAGTTGACTCTTAGAATAATCGAGCACTGAGACCTATTGTTCCATAGTAATCACACAGGGTAAACGTGAATGATGTGGAACACATATATACGTCTTTCATGTTCAATTGTAAACTTTCAGGAGGAGGTCTTGAAGACTAACCTTCTGGTTCTACAGAGTGATCTTGCAGCCTCAGATGAAGCCAGAACAGGCCTAGAAACACTGAACCTTCAGCTTGAGGAGACTAACACCAAGCTGAAACAGCAGTATCTGGAGGTCAAGGTAAGCTTGACCATTCGTGTAGATCTTCAAGAAACCTGTATGGCCTTTTTTAGGACACATTTCCACTGCAAAGATTCCATCAACTGTTCTGAAAATCATTTCATCATTTTATGTCTGCCTCAAGTGCTTTTATGAACAGATAGCTCATTGTCACAATATGACTTTTTCTGTATCCTGTTAGATGGCTTGTCCCTGAATGACATGGTCATTTAAAACAAAAGTTTAAGAATTAAATATGAATGTAATGCAGATTTATTTTGTCTATATGATATCCCATATTTTTCCTTAAAGGGTAAAATAAACCCTGTATATTTTCAGGCTGTTGTGGACAGGGATAAGACAGATGCAACACAACAGACATCATTGAGCTACTTCAACACTCAAATCATTGAAACACAGACAGAGAATGAAACATCAATTGTTTCCACTCAGACAATAATCAACACAGCTGACGGCTCTGTTCAGACTCAATGTGAAACAAACTCTGCCTCCTCCCAAACACACAATCAGTGTGTCAGTTCAACATCTCAGACCATTGTTCCTCCTCTTGCTAACAGCTCTTCCCAAACTGATGGACAAGACCTATCTGAACATGTGGCACCATGTTTGGTGGGTGAAATGTGCCTGTTGCCTCAGAAAGGGGAGATTTTCCATGCAGAAAGCAATGGATTGGAAACCGTGGAAACACAGGAGAAGAGCGTGTCAACAGTTCATGAAGTATCTGAACCAGAACTAGAAACTGGAAGTTCTGGAGAGATTGACATGAATGATGATGCAGGCAGAAGTGCAAGAGATTCAGATTCTTGTATCATTCTGGAAATACCAGACATACCCAAGAATTGTGATAGCAATAGTTTGAAAAGTGATGGCATATGTGGGGAAGATGCTCTTATTTCAGCAGATAGTCCAGCTAATAACTCTACAATGACATTGTCAGAACCCTATCATGATATTTCCTCTAGACCCGGAAGAAATCTGTCCACTGTTGTATCAGGGACTGCCAGTTCCAGTTCAGACACACTACAGTTCTTACCCTTACATCGTTATAAAGCAGAAGAGCAATCTGGAGGTCGTAGAATGTCTCTTCCTGTTGCACAGCACAGGAGGCAAATGATGTGCAAAGATTCACCACTTGCAAAGTCACAAAACTATTCTGAGTCAGACTTATACTTAAATAAAGATAAACACACAAAGGTTAGTCCAGGTAGGTCACAAGGTGTGAAGATCAGATGTCTGTATTCAGAAAGTCCTGTGTTATGGGGGGCACCTTGTCCTGGGGAAGAGCCTAAGGACGTATCTAGGTTGAGTTCTACCTCTCAGCCTAATGCCTCTTTCTTTGCTTCTGTGTCAGAAAAGTGGTCAGTCTTGGTGGAAGCAGAAGAGCAAGCGAAGAAGCATGCACCATCACCAGGCAGAAGCCCTCGATCTACACCAAAAATGGGACTGCGTATTTTGAGTGAAACATCACCTTCTCGGAGAAGAAGTACAGGGTTTGAAGGAATTCCACCTACAGCTCAATTCTTGATTGATGGGTTTGAATCTAGTTCTTCAGTATCCCCAGGAAAGAAACTACGAGAATGGAAGCATCATGATGATGGTCAAGGTCCTTCTGCAGCTGATGAGGGCAGAAATGCCACAGAATATCGAGGAAGAACTCCACAACAGATGTCCCCAAAAGCTCACAGAGATGCACAGCATTTGATTAAAAGCCAAAAAGCCAAGGTCAGCCCTAGAACACAGAGGTATTTAAGTGCACAGAGATGCCTTCAACTTCAAGCTTCAACGATAGGACCATTTGAAATGAGCGAAGGAACCAGTTTATATGTTGGCAAAAAAGCAGATGCTAACAAACAGCAAGGTAGAGTTTTAGAAATAAGCTTTCACTTTGAGCTCTGATATAATAACAAGAACAAATTATTATCTGATGTGTAAAACTAGAAAATAAAAAGAAAGACAGGCAGTCTGTGATGAAAACAAGCATTCTGTAACAATGCCCATGTCTAGATTATCTGACAAAACAGATGAACATTTGACGTAAAGGGCAAAACAGCTGTGAAAATATTATAAAAGGACCACTTAAAATCATTGATGACACCAGGTGTTCACAAAAAGGGTAAGCATGTACAATTTACAAAACAATACTGAAAAACAGATTTTGCCCATTTAGATTTATCAGAATTTTAAAAAACTGTTCAACAAGATAATGTTGAACATTTAGATATATCCCTGTGCATGAGCAGCTTTAGTCCACTAGTTCTTATAATGAGAACATATAGCAAAACATTTATAAAGGGCAAATTTCTACTTGTCCTACCTACCTATAGTTGGATACCTTAGCTATTGGGCAGTTTGGCAAGGACTATAGGACAAGTGCCAGTTTCCAATGCTGCGTGTGACTGCAATGGAATCACGGTATTTCATTGTGCCAGTATATCAGTCTTATTCCTTATTAAGGATGGGTGATGGTCATCAACATGGACATCACTAAGGTGATCAAATTTTTAGTCTCTAGTAATTTTAAGCTGATGCTTGGAATTGTGTTTTCAAATATGAATTTTGATTTAATACACCCTGAATGTCTTTTGTTGCTGTCAATTTGACATATATGTTCTTTTAACAGACAAGTCGCCAAGGAGTAACAGCAAGGGAATACTGAAAGGTAAATGCTTTTAGGGTTATCATCATATCAAGATATTAACGAAATGCCCTTGTTCAAATCTCTGCTTAGATAGACTGCTGGCTATATTATTTTAATGTTGTTAGAAGAAGCATGAAATGTTGCATATGTATGCTGGCATTCTGTAATAATTCAGTCTGGACCAGATCAACCAGTGATTGACATTGTGAGCATTGATCCACTCAATTGGGATACAATATAAAGCATTCAACCAAGTGATCCATTTCGTTGTCTCTTATGACAAACATGGGTTGCTGGGGACATATTTACCTGGAATCTCAGTGGGTTACAGGAAATATTTGACAAAGAAAAGCACCTATTTTGCTTTAATACAAGGTTAAAAAAGGAGGCTCTCAATGGGTTGTATGTATATGTGCAAATACAAATTAGTTTACATTTGGAACACTCTTAACACTCCAGGCAGTAATACAAGTCATCTTTTATACTTCCAGCTACATGGTCAGCCAACAAGCCAGCCAAGACTGTAAGGTTTGGGAGCATTATGGTGTCACAGGCACAGGTACATAACAGCCTGTCTTTGGCCTTCTGAGATCATGACAGTTTGTAGTGTTGGCTCTCTGAGATCATGACAGCCTGTAGAGCTAGCTTTCTGAGATCATGACAGCCTGTAGAGTTAGCTTTCTCTGAGATCATGACCGTCTCTAGAGTTGGCTTTCTGAGAGCATGACAGTTTGTAGTGTTGGCTATCTGAGATCATGACAGTTTGTAATGTTGGCTATCTGAGATCATGACAGCCTGTAGAGTTGACTTTCTGAGATCATGACCACCTCTAGAGTTGCTTTCTCTGAGATCATGACCATCTCTAGAGTTGGCTTGCTGAGAGCATGACAGCATTACTGATACTTATTCTTCTATGGCATAATGATGATCTTCAAGACAGGACTTTCCCTTTTCATTTTGTGTGTGTGTGTGTGTGCGTGCGCGCGCACGTGTGTCTGTGAGTGGGTGTGCACACGCACACGTGTGTGTGTAAAAATCAGAAAAATTGATGTAGAGGTTGGTGATTAATGCTGTTTTTTCAATGTTTATAGCTATTACCATCAGTAAAGGGAAAGGTTTTATATATTCAAGTGTGTCATTATATATTCATCGTATATAGTGTATTGCATTTCACTAAAAATCTGAAGACAAGCTTTGTTTTATAAGTTGTAAGAAGTTATCCATCATGCATTGTAATTAATTTTTTCCCATCATATTGTTCCTAGTCTATTTCCATACAAGTCCATGGGACCCTTGAAATTTGAGATTGGAAGTAATAATAATAATCATGTTAATTCTTTTGTAGTCTGTTAAAACAAGTTTGCCCACTGCTGCCTCCCAGCCACCTTCCCAGAAGTCAGCACACAATTCAGTGTCTGAGCTGTCCCTCGAAAAACCTGCAGGGGAACAGTTGCTCTTCTCTGATGATGATGACTTGATTGACCCAGAGTATGGCAACAACAAGCCCCAGGCAGCTCCTGTAGTCCAGCCGAGGAAGAGGAAACGAGAAGATGTGGAGGACAAGACATGATATTCACTCTCCAGCAGACATGAGCATTTGCATGATGGCAGCATACAGTGTGGGTTTGAGCTTGAAATATTTTTGACAGTTCCGAGTATTATTGTTAATGTGTATTTGACAATTTTCTCAGGTTAAATCTGAATAAATAATATCATCCAAATCTGGCTTTCACAGGAGATATCGCTTGGGTGAGATCCTATAAGATGAAAGCTAAAATGAAATTGCAGCACAATGCTTTGCAGACGTCCGAATCAATGACATCTCTCTGCCACTGAAGCTAGTTAGCTGGGCATTTTACACTGGTTTTTCCTCTTTACAAACTTAAAAAGTTGGAAGAATATTTTTGGATGATAACAAGAATCTCACCCTAAGTTTAAAAGTCCAAGGCTCGGGATTTTAGATTTTATCGACTTATGTTGATATATTTGATATAAAAAATTCTGCTTATCATCCAAAATCATGCAAGCCGCAGAGTTTTAAACTTTTTGCCACACATGTTGATATGTATTTTATATCAAAAGACACAAGGGTGAGATTCTGTGTTTATTATGACTGTTATATCTCCTGGCAGAGTTTTAACCATCTTGGTTAGTCAGGTATATTTTGATTTTACAGCTGCTTCAAGCAATTATTTTGTGAATCAAAATGAATTTAAAAAATGATTAACATAAAACTTATGTATAGGTTAAGTGATCTATGATAATTATTGTTCTTCAGGGATGTTTGTCAACTATAGTTGAGGCATGTAGTCATTTGCTCAAATGTCTTGCCAAAACAACAGATTCCATCATACTCAATATCTATACATTTGTTGATCTAGTCATTAATCTTGTTATTTTGTTAACATATTGTTTACTCTTTGCCAAGTTGAAGTTGGAAATAATAAATTATATTAAGTACCTTCTGATAGTGTCATTTCTTTCTGTAGTAAAACAGAGCAGTTCGTGAGATGGTAATTGTCATATAATTTGCATAAGCTCAGAATCTTGTTTTCTTTATATTTATTTAAGCACATACTGATATATATGGGATATGTTACTCGTATGCATGGCAAAATCATAAGGCAAATGAACAGCAAAATATGTTGGCAACCTCTTTGGTGATTTGTTTGTTGTTTAACACCGTACTCAGCAATATGACAATATGACGGCGGTCTGTAAATAATCGAGTATGGACCAGACATTCCAGTGATTGACATCATGAGCATCAATCCACGCAATTTGGATACGATGACTTGCATCAACCAAGTCAGCAGCCTGACCAGCCGATCCCGTTAGTCGCCTCTTACGACAAGCATAGTGGCCTTTTACGGCAAGCATGGATTGCTGAAGATCTATTCTACCCCCGATCTTCAGGGGTTGCTTTATCGATAGCCAGAACAGTGTGCCTGAAAGTTATGTTCTTCGAAGAACTAGAAGCAAGGGAGAGTACTTTTGGTACATTGTGGTATATTTGCCGAACTGTGTTTTCTCCCTTGCAGCAGTCGTTCACGCGTATGCGACCGGTGTGATCTCGTGCTGTCAGAGATTAGGCTCCAGCTCATCCGTCATGAAGAATCGTGAAAAATACAAACATTAGTTTGAAAAAGTAATCTTGACTTGGCCATAAACGTAATAGGATCCATTAGAGTTTTAGATCTGGAAATATTTATTTTTCTACCACTCATCAAAATGTACGTGTATCATGACCACGAGGTTATCAGCGGGATATTTCTGTTTTTCAAGTACACAAGTTAGTTTTCTGGAATATTTTGTTATTCAGCTACCAAAAACTATGAATTCTCACCAATATATTTCTAATAGGACGACCTCTCATTTCAGCTTTGTATTTTATTCACGATGCACTTTTTGTTAACTGTACTTTTCTTCAAAATAAATAGGGACGGTGGGGTAGCCTAGTGGTTAGACTGTTCGATTTACACGCCGAAGGCCCGGGTTAGATTGCCCACATGGGTACCATGTGTGAAGCCCATTTCTGGATCTGTGATATTGCTAACTAAAGCGGCGTAGAACTATATTACTCACTCATAATAAGTGTGTGTGTGTCCTCAGTTGAAACATCAACCAAACATAGTGTGTTTGGAATATTTTCGAGAGAGAAAATAACATGTTCAGAATAGAAAAGTGTAGTAATGAATGTGTTTTCTCGTCTTGTCGAAGTCCCGGGTTCGATTCCCCACATGGGTAGTGTGTAACACACATTTCAGATGTCCCTCTCCGTGCTATTGCTGGGGAATTGCTAGAAACGGTGTAAACCAACGTTCACATAATCACTCAGTCCAAATAGAAAACACGTGATTGATGGTTTTTGTCAGTAAGTTCAGTCCAGGATGACACAATGTGATTAATGAGTTAATTTAAATTTTAATGTAAATGATGTGTTAATATTTATGTAGCAAATTATGATGAACCTGTATATGATTTGATTTTAAGGATGACTAAATGTTGGTTTTGAATTGATTAATTACTGTTATAACTGTTAATTACAGCTTGCATATATATTTCTCCATATCATTTGGATGAAGGTTGCAAACATACACCTTCATGTAAAGAAACTATTATATATACTTTGATGCGACAAAATCTGTTCCTGCTGGATCCCAACGCCTTCATTTTAATGAACGTTTGGTTGATAATTATGTTCATGAAAATATGTTTGTATCGTTTTCAAAATAGACAGCATGGGTTATTTGGTAATCTGAAACAAATTCAGCAGAACGTTTTGAACATGACAACAAAGGTCATTCCATGACGATGTGTAGCTAAATCTTGTTGTACTAACAACCCTTTCCATAAAAGGGAGGGTCGCATTCAGTTGAAGCATTAAGTCCAATGTGTCCCCTGGAAGGTCCGTATTCACTTGAAACATCACCATGTCCAGTGTGTATCCTGGAAGGTCCGCATTCAGTTGAAGCATCAAGTCCAATGTGTGTCCATGGAGGGTCCGCATTCAGTTGAAGCATCAAGTCCAATGTGTGTCCATGGAGGGTCCGCATTCAGTTGAAGCATCAAGTCCAATGTGTGTCCATGGAGGGTCCGCCTTCAGTTGAAGCATCAAGTCCAATGTGTGTCCATGGAGGGTCCGCCTTCAGTTGAAGCATCAAGTCCAATGTGTGACCATGGAGGGTCAGCATTCAGTTGAAGCATCAAGTTCAATGTGTGTCCTGAAACGGTGGGCATTCAGTTGAAACATCAAGTACATTGTGTGTCCTGAAACGGTCCGCATTCGGTTGAAGCATCACCAAGACCAGTGTGTGTCGTTCCAGAAGTGTAGCTAAAATAAGCACGTTTTCCTTAGATCTAGAGATGGCACACGAACGGCATCCGATTGTGGCCTAATCGGGAAAGTCGATTTGATCCTTTAAAGTCTTAAAATATGAAGTTCATTATCAAGTCCTGTGTGTCCCCTCGCAGATCGTCGTGCGTGGTGAGGAATCGAGGAAGTAACATACAATTAGAAGGGAAAGTTCACATGGTTTCAGTGTGTTCTGCTTGTGTCGAATGTGCGTGAATGTCGCAACATGATAGCCACTTTGTAGAAACCCCTTGAGAACGGTATTAATGCTCTCTAAATAATTCGAGGTTCGAACGTACGATCATCTGATCCGGGTACGGCTGTCCTGCACACATAATTGCGGCACCTCGCCAACCCCTCAAGCTGGTTACAGACATGGTCGCACAGATCTTCCTGGATTTACTGCCCGTCTAGTGGATAGAGCGTTTGCTCGGAGAGTGGACTGTCGGGGTAGCCATGTTAAACTGCGACATGGTGTCTTAGAGGGGTAGTACTATAAAACCGACATTAGACCACACGCACACGAGCGCACGCACACACACATACATGTGCATGCACTCGTCGCTATATAAGTGAGATATACTTGAACGCGACGCTCAACCCCATATACTTGTAAGACATTTAATTGACACTGATCAACTTCATCGCGAAAACCTTCACACTTAGCGACAAATTAGTGAAGCAGGACTTGTTACGATTATACAATAATAACTTTACCTTCCATTAAAATAGAAAACAAATCTTAAACAGTCATTCTTTCTGATCTTTTTTAGAAAATACATGACATTTACATTTACATGTAGTTTAAGGTTCACCGTCCCTATGCCCAGTATGGTAAAGATAAAGGTTGTGCAGTACTTGAAACATAATTCTCATGAGTATTAAGAACTAAATTAATTGCCAAATGTTTTCAGCGGAATGATCGAACACGGAACTGACAGGGAAGGGAATGAGAGCTACGACCAGTAACCCGCAATGACGGGTCGGGTTGTGATGCCCTGCCACTGTCGCAGTAGATTTCCTTATCACTGTTAAAGACGGGAGTACAAAGTACGATTGGGGTATAAAGTGATACTCTTTGGTTTCCACCTCGGACATCCTGCGCATGGAGTAATTCGTACTCGCTCCACACATTTTAGGATTACGTGTCAAGATGCACAGACGGTAGAATGCTGAAAATTAAAAGCCATCCTGTTGATTCTATGACGCTAATATCCATTATAGCTTGAATTTATCTGGTTCCCCATCTACGGGGTTTGGGTACGTGTGCAGCAGTCTTGAGTGAATATATAGTTATGAGTCGAATTCCACTTGTCATGGTAAATTGGGATGCACTTTACCTGTTATAAATACCATCTGAATGGCTTTGTACTGAGTACTGATCTTTATTTTGTGTGTTACGCTCAAGCCAAGTGGCTGCCATCTTGAAGGTTATACCAGCGTTCTCACGAGCATATGAATGTTCGTGAAAAACGTGTTCATACCAGCGCTGCTGCAACGATGACGTCACGGCATCATTCATGTTGACACAGATTTACTCCATACGCGTGTACTTTTCCCTTCTTTCTTGTAATGCCATTAATAACATAATAACTGTTTATCTTATTAATATAATTTTGCATTCGTGTCGCTCTAGCTTTACGTATTTGTTCTTGTTAAGATGGTACGATGCCATGCAAACAACAAAGTCCCCCGCACATACGGCATAAAACAGCCTTCAGTCACACAAAATCAGAAATTTGAGACTTTTTATTTAAGTTGTCTTCGAATTACGAATGTTTTTGTCATATTTTATTCGGAAGTTTGAGATTGAGATAGGTACAATGTATTTAAGTTTGTGAGGCGCCATTACTAGGCTCTGCAGAATTCCCATATTTCGCACAACGCGGGCGGCCCGAACTGAAACATTTACGTATATACGCATATTTTGGGTACAGAGTAATACATCTTAGGAAGAAAAAGTGCATATCTGAGATAAGGCTAAGATAAAGGTTGATGTATCGAATCTTCTCCTGGCGCCAACACTTGACCATTCTGCAAGCGGTACACTGGACTGCTGAAGACCTGTAGGTTGTGTTGGTTGTTGAGTCGATACGTGTGTGTGTGTACACAGATTATAGACGTAGGCTGTAATAATTGGAAAGAGCGAGAGAGACTAAATTTTGGTTTGATATTTATTTGATAAAGTGTACGCTTACATAGTATTAGACCGAATTAATGCAGTTAAATCGACGCGTTCTTGATCCTATTTCTCATTTCACAAACGAAACAGCTTGAAATAAACTCTCTTCCTTGTTTCATATGGCAAAATGTGTGCAAAAGTGATGTGTGTGAGGTGTGTGTGTGATGGAAAGAGGGGGGAACTTTTTCAGTCATAACTACAATACTCGACATTTAATAGTTCCTGTGAAAACATTAATTTATTTACACCTCAACACACTTCTCTCAAAAGAATTCCCAGCACACTGACCCATCCCCTCCCCTCTCTCTACACGCACGCACACTCAGATACACACAGACACACCAGGATGTCAAATGGTTGGTCCCAACGCAGTTCTGGTCATAAATCCGTCTCTTCACAATAAAGAGGTGACGCAACGCAGCACCGAC